AACTCCGTTTTCATAACCAAGCCTTAAACTTTGTACAATTTGCTTTCGTTGCCATTCGGTCAGTTTTAATGAAAAACTTCTCCATTGATTTCATGGCAAATGAGCTTTGCTTTTGAATAACTTTCCCAAAGGCGACTGCCAAAAAAGGTTACCATTGGGTACGACAGGAAGTGATGTACTAGTAAAATGTCACATGATTAAGTTCATATTTGGGGCAAGCAACCCCGTTAACGACAGTGAAAACTGGATCAACCTGAAATGAAAGAGTAAGTTAAGTGTTCCGGTATCGAATCAAAAAACGAGTTGTGACTTAATACCTGTCAGCTAAGCAGAGCTTAAAATTTAATCATACCAACTGTTTATTAATTGAACCTGATATACTGTGTAACAATCCGCGACTTATTAAGGAAAGCTGATGTGAATCTTGCAACCTTCCGCTGAGGATTAATAAGGGCTTTTGCTTATCTCAACAGCTAACAAGCCTTTTTTTGTTTTAAGGAAGCTAAAGCCCACTGACTTTTCATTTTTTCTGGGAAACAGGTTGATATATAAAAATATATTTTCCCCACAGTAGTCAAATTGGGACAAATGTATATCAAATAAATCAAATTCATACGTACATAAACCGCTTGTAAGTCTATAAGCATATTATCAGTATTATATCTAAAATATATCTAAAAGGTCATGCAACTTAGCAATAATACCCGCCGTGTAAAATTCATGCTGTAAGGTACCATAAGTGTTTCCGAGCGCACTACAATCCATCCCAACTTTCCTGTCCATAAAATACGCCTAAGAGTTTTTGATGAGACGTCATATTATTCATCCACTTTGTACTTTTGATAGGGAGGAGAGAATGGGACATAAGAAGATAAGTTTGTAATCCACGTCATATTCAAATAGTTACAATTCTTTGGTTGAAATATCTTTCCCCCAAAAATACTCAGTGCGATTCAAATTTGTCTTCTTTTGCCAAGAGGGCGAACGTGGTCGCAAAGTGGTCAATTAAGACTGGCTATCTGACAGGCCAGGCGCTCGCAAGAATAGTGTTGTTGACCTCCAACTTGGAAAAAACGGCTTAGATGAAAGTATAGTTAGCAATAACTGAAGAGGTATCGTGTGAGCCTTGACTATATTGAATAAGACAGAGGACAGTAGGACGCTAGAGAAAACCTCTAAGGGACCATATGAAGTCGAAACAGAGTGTAGCTAAATGTCGTGGGTCGTGGGTGGTGGGTGTGGGTGTGGGTAAATGTCGTGGGTGAAAAAAAAGTTTTCCAAAAAAAATAAAAATCAAAAAATCAAAAGGCAAAAAGTTGTAAAATTCATGAAACGAAAATCTCCGTGTACATGCCAGTCCTACTCCCATTCCTCGCGGTCAGCAAAGCAAATAAGCGAATCCTTTAGTACAAACGGACACCAAAATAAGAAACTCTGTACACTAGAAAACTGGAGACTGAACTGCTTTTTCTCAAAAAAGTCAACATTCGTGACTGAAAGGTCAGTTAAAGGAATGATATTTAGAATCTTTACAGCAAAGATTTTGTACGCAAAACAAAAAAAATTTGAGAAAATTATATTTACGCAAGCCAATAAAATTTACATACGGTCCACGCCTTATCTAGAAAGGTTGAGCACGAAGGTTGTTCCTTCGTAAGTTATTAGCTAGTCTAAACTTCTTTAAGAAAGACTTCTATGCAAAAATATGAAATACTTCAAAATTTTCCTTTTTCCCTGCCCTTTCCCACGGTGATCTCGTTCCATCGTGTTAAGAAATCTCCGCTGATCATTGGAATTGTAGATCGAATAAAGATTAGTAGTGAGCAGCCACTTCCATTCAGCCAGTCAGAACTGTCGATCCCATACTTTCTGCAAATTGTACGTATAACTTACGTCTGTTTCGTTTATTTTACGGCGATAGCTCGGGTATGTATAAATTTCCATCGGCAACATGTATGGTCTTTATACAGTGATGGTGTGAAAGGGGAGACAAGTCCCACGTGTCTAAGGAAATATCGGGAAGAGGACGAAGAAGCCGTGGCGAAAAGGGCAATCAATGCAAGGAGTTGGAGATTTTCGTTTCAGAAACATTTTACAATTTTTTCTATTTATTTTATTATTATTATTATTATTATTATTATTATTATTATTATTATTATTATTATTTTATCATTTTTTTTCATACTTTTTTTTACCCACTACATTTACCCACACCCACACCCACACCCACGACCCACACCCGCGACCCACGACCTCTACCCACTATCCACGACCCACGACATTTAGCTACACTCGTCGAAACGACACAGAAAGAAAGAGCTGGAGAAGTATGTGAAGCCGACTCTAAAAACAGTTCGCCAAGATTTTACAGTTCTTTCACGGATACAGTCTACTCTCGTCTCGCGCACACCTCGCTATTACGGACACCCCGCTAATAGGACAGCAGCTGAATCCTCGGCGGAAATTACAGACGTGTGACTGAAACAGTCTCCCAGTATTACGGACTCTCGCTATTACGGACTTACTCTCGGTCCCGACAGCGCAACAGCGAGCATGATTTTATATTGTTCCAACTTTCGTTATAACGGACATCAATCAGCACCTTGCGATATTTTGGCAGAATTATCTCAGGTTATAATTTATTTCTTTCTCTTCATATTAAAACATTTATCATGAAAAATCTGACCAAAAATATGTCGGTGTAGATCCGAGCCTGCACAGTAACCATCTGGATTACGAGGTTGAGCGAAAGTTTGGTTGGGGATGACAGGATTGAAGAACCCTTTTGAGGAAGCCTAGTAACTTCTCAACTTTCAATTTTACGATCTTTGGAAATCTTGCCCACCGTTGAATGCGAGCAAAACCCCACCCGGGGACATAGCAAACACTAGGTTTCTTGAAAGAAGAAAGAGAAAGAGAAAGAGAGAGAGAGAGAGAGAGAGAGAGAGAGAGAGAGAGAGAGAGAGAGAGAGAGAGAGAGAGAGAGAGAGAGAGAGAGAGAGAGAGAGAGAGAGAGAACCAAAGCCTAAGCCAACAAGAGCAAAAAATGACAAAAGTTCAACCGACCTCAGGTTGGTCAAGACAACAGTGACGTCACGAAAGTAAAGTTCATTTCCATTCCCTTCCATTCGTCAAGTCTTGGGATAAAAAAGGGTCGAGTTTTAGTATTTTCTCTTACCGTAAAGGCTTGTGGAGAAAATTTACCCAAAATGTTGCTTAAAAATGATTCATTTCTGCATTTGACAAAGTTAAAGTGACCAGAGCAATTTTTTCGAAATTTTAGTTCCCATTGCTGTAATTGAGGTGCTGTTGATTTGGAAATGACGTTGATTGCATATCTCGAGTTGGTTTACTATCCAGAGGATTCGGCTGAATAATTGTTGGCTTCACACTGGAGCTTCATGTAAAATGTAGGTGTATACTTGGAACCTACTTTGAGTTTGAAGGAGTAAAATGTACGTACTTCAACTTTACTTGGTGACCATGGAAACGTGCGTGATTCAAAGAAGCCGCACTCTAAATTATGGTCTTTACCACACTTGATAACACAGTTAACCAATAAGGAATGGAAGCCATGTGCACGTGCAGCGGTTCCAAGATTCTAATGAAAGGAGAGATTGACAGCTTGTGCCTCAAGTAATTTACTTTGTCAATAAGTGTGAAGCCATGTTTTACAGTCTACTTGAATCAAGTTCTTACTTGAAACTTCTAGTGTGAAGCCAACAATTATTGACCCTAAAGCCCGCGCGTTTCAGGTCAAACGTGGGTAAGCTTACACTCTCAGACTCTTTAGTGCTGATCAGATATGCGCAAGCAGGGGCAGATCCAGGATTTTTTTTAGGAGGGGGTGCACTCGTCTCTTGCTCTACTTCAACACCAATAAACCACGTAGTTTTTTTTTGCAGAATACCAGTTGTATTAGAAAACCGCAGGTCACCTGAGGGGGGGGGGGGGGGGTGCGCACCCCCTGCACCCTCCCCCTAGATCCGCCCCTGGCAAGGAAGATCTCTAAAGCGGTCATCTTTAAAGAAAGCGACACTGGTAATCAAAAATGTGTAAGATAAAGAAAACCTAAAGAGTCCAGAGTAAAAAACCCTCTTCCTTGCTTTTCTCTTTTAAGCTGCTTCTTCTCCGTTGGACGAGCAGAAACAAGAGGCAGAAAAGAAACAGACTCAACGTTTAGTTACTATAGCTATATTTTATTTATTAAAACAATTGCGACAATTATAATATTTTTCTAATATTATTTTTTTTCTTCAATTCATTCTCTTGAATTTATAGCGCTATTTAAAAGTCCTAAAGGATCGACAAACCCAATAACCTTTGCTCACCAAATGGCAACAAAGTTAAGTAAGTTTTCTAATACCACTGCATTATACATTTCAATCTAGGGTTTAGTTGGTCACTGAATTATTGTCTTTCGGAGGTGGAAATCAAAAGGCACCTAATCCAGGATACCCTCAAATGTCGCCAAGTAAAAATATTCAATCACTATCTTTTTAATTTTAAAAAGATATGTGATGAATAAGCTCACCTAGTCTTTAAACACTAGCTACATCAATTTTTCTTTTGATTTTTTTTACAGACACCCGCAATAAACATTATGCTCTGAATCTAGGCGGATAGCATTAGACCTTTTTAGCGTGTATGCTTCGATTTCCCAATGTAGGTCTTTTAGACCTTTTTACAGATACAGCGGCCATATTGAATTAATTCTATTTAAGGAGTATTATAGGATGCCCAGAGGGAATGAGCACATTTCGTTTGTATTTAGGAGCGTTTTTCGGGGCATTTTCTTCCTTAAAGTTTTGTTAGAATAAGATTGTAATGGGAAAAAAGATCGTCGAGCCGTTTTTGGAAAGTGAAAGTGAAAGACCATATTTCTAATACTAAGCTAGAAAAAGGCGATGATTATTACATCCAAACACGGCACAACTATCTTTTTTTCCCATTAGAATCTTATTCTGAGAAAATTTTAAGGAAAAAATGTCACGGAAGGTGCTCGTACAAACAAACAAAATGTGCTCATGCCCCCTGGGCATCCTATAATACTCCTTAAATCGAATTAATTCAATATATCGGTGAAAAGGTCTATTGATAGAACTTTACAGAACGGACGAAATTTCATTACATTTACATTCAAATAGTAATAATAATAATAAAAAAACAAAGAAAAGGCTGATTCCCTTGAAAATATGAAATGACCTAATGAGAAAACAAAGCACCGAAGCGAAAGAAAGAAAAGTAACAGCAAACTAATTGAAAAAGAAGAGGAAGTAAAGTAACGAAAAGCAAAGCTACCGCCTCATTTTAGTATATGTGAAAAAGGATTTTTGATCCGAATAAATTGAAGATGGACGTAAGAAAATCTTTCCATTATTGTAGACAACTTGGTAAAGTATTCGATGTCTTATAGGAATCTTTTTTTATTTTATTTATTTTTTGTAAACTTACCATATTTCTGTGAACCCAATTTTCAACCTTTGTTATTTTTTACAATTTTTTTAAAAAATGACTATTTAGATGTGACTATCAGTTCCTACTGTCTAAGGCAATCATTTCGAGCCAGCAATAGAAATCTTTCTACCAAAAAAAAAAGATTAAAGCTTTTCTTGGATTCTTTTTTCAAAGGTCTACGAACCTCAACTCTGTTTTAGAGTAAACAAACACAAAATTCAACTATATGAAGGCGGGACACTTTACCAAGACTAAACTCTATTTTAAAACTACCGCTCTTTCTGGCTAATGCGAAAAGGAACAGAGTAAAAGAACAGAAATGTAAATCATACATTGCTTCCGCATCCAACAAACTTGATACAGATTAATCACCTACCTGATAGCAGGTTAGTGAATCAACTGTAGACCCTATGGGTATGCTGATGTACTGAAGTTAACTGTAAGCTCTCAGCCAACAGAATTACAGACAGTGAGTACAATGTATGTTCTTTTCCCGGGAGGAAGGATGGGGGTTGGAGTTATTTACCCTTAAATCATCTAACTTCAAATAAAGGTTATTGTTATGCTTCCCTTTACCAGGAAGATTTCTAAGGAGTGATTTTAGTCCCTTTGGAATTTACTATGCTCTCTTGTTATAGTAGCCGAGAGAAATTCACCGCAAACTATCCCGGGGAAGGCGTCAAGGAAGCTTGACCGTAGGTCCAGACTTTTTGAATTAATCTCTTTTCACGTACAGGTTTAGTCTGTAATATTTAGTATTAAGTTTTCAGTAGTCGTAAAGCAGGCTCATTGCTTCGGCGGCTTTACATCGCACTCGGGGTGAAGGGTCTTTCAACTGAAGAATTAGAGCTGAAAGAAGGAGAAAGATGTGTCAAAGTTTTTCAAACGTGGTTACTTACGAAATAGACAACGTTTTTTCCTCTATACTGTTATACAGCATAGAAAAAAAAACATCAAAATGTTCAACACCACAGTGTTTAGAACATGACATTTCCTTGTTCGACGAGAGTAGAGACTATGGAAAACTGACCTCCCCTTTTTAATTTTTGTACAATAATATTGAAAGTTTTAAATGTCAATTTCCGGCGAAGTTTCTTCGTGATTCCGGCGCGCGAGAGAGATAAAGACAAAACAAATATCCATCAACAATATGTCATTTCTACGGGCTGTACATTGAATACTTCTTAGAAAGTCGGTACGGGATTCTACGCACGAGTTCTTGACGTATCAGAAATCGAACAAGTGAGATTCCTATTAAAATGCTTCTCATTAAAAGTACAACTCAGGCTTGTTTTTTTTTTCCCTTTCTACTGTTGTTACGCAAGCTCTCTACAATTTTCCTCAACGACAATGACATAAACGGAGTTATTCTATTTCATTCCAGTTTCCGGACTGTTGTTCGCTTTTTTACGAGACGGACTCTCCTTTATGGACTCAACAAACTTCCTGGTTGAGTGGTTGTGACAAGTGCAACCTATAAATGGCGGCAAACTTGGCGCGAAACTCAAGCAACGCTGTGGCTTTTGATTGAACATATGATTCTCGCCACATGTGAAAAAACTTCGTTCGTGATTCAGATTGACCTTATACATGGATGCCTTTCTAGCTCTCTGGTTGGCTGTATTCTTTCTGGTATAGGGTATACACTACAATCCACCGATAAGCGCGTTGCAATTCACTCAGTCATAGCGGAGTAACTATTGTCACAACGTGGTCAAGCATTACTTCCCTGAGGCGCTATTCATTACACCGGGTGAAGATGTGCTCTCGACAGGGGATCTGTTACCAGAAGGAAGAAATGAACAAGGACTGGCACTACAAGAATCTGATAACTCACAGGGATCATGAATGGATAGATCAAGCTAGGAATGATGAACGTATTTAACGTACATATGTTCTTCTGTATTTATCTTTCATAAATGTGGCGGTTTTTTTTGGTGTGTTTTCCTTGTCTATCACAGGCGCTTCTCGGCACTCCAGCCGATTTTAAATGATGTAAAAATCACATATAGATCTCAACGTTTGAAGCAAAGGTGGCAAGCTCCTCGATTGATTTGAGATCTTACGTATTGACAGGCTGGCGTAAGAACCTATGACGTTCACTTGAGAAAGACTGCATGATTCGAGTAAGATCTTTGTTGAGCAAGCGCGCTGCTTGCTGCTAGGATACAGTTTCGACCCCAGGCCTAACAGCCATGCGCTCGGTACAGCGGTCGTAGTTATGACCAGCGGTTTAACAATAACGGATGCTTGCACTCGAAAAACCAGTTTGATTAGAGAAAACAAGATTGACTAGTTCAGAAGTTTGGGCTGCGGCGGCTTCAAAAACTTGACACGATCCAGGAAGCCTACTTTTCACCTACTCGATCAAGAAGAAGACAAAAGGAAACTCTGCTCGCAAGGTGCCAACTCTACAAGCTTTTGCTCTACCAACTGAGCTGACGAGAAGGCATAACGACACAAGGTTTTAGCCAGAAGGGTGTCCAGCCGTCCTATGGACGACCATTTTTGCATAAATTACAAGGAAAATTCACTTAATCTCTTATAATTTTATGGGAAAACATGCCTTCTGGACAGCCAGCCTTCAATGTCTTGCTAAAAACCTGTAACGATATTATGGAGGAAAAGAAAATCTTACCTCCACAAACGTGGTCTTTAGATATTTCATTTCTTCTTTCCTTTGGCAAGTTACCGAGAATAAAACCTAAAAATATCAAACACAATGACTGAGTAACAAAAACAAAGGAAGGAAACCTGAATTTCGGTAGGAGTACGCGCAATTCTGTCACCTTACCAGTAAATAAAGCGGCGTTCGCTTTGATATCATCTCGAGAACTCTTGAAGAAGGACACGCAGCCCATGACGTAAAAACTAATTTTATCCGCGAAATCAACAATCTGGGGAAAAATAGTAAAAAAAAAAAGATTACAAGGAAAATGACCGCGTGATCTTTGAACGAGATCCACATCATTGTCAAGATAAGGCTTTCCTCAGGGTCACTTAGGGCATAAACTTGATGAAATAGGTTACTGCACGATTGTCTCCCCGCCCCCACCCCCGTGTGTACTACTTTCAGGGTTTCTACCCGCAGGGGGCCTCGGAAATACTAAAACAGCCTTGTATAAATAAGGCAAAACAAAAGAATTATTTCGCCCGACTGTGTAAGTCGCAAAAAGTCAACACGCTGAGCACGTCAAAGCTAGTCTTGGTAAGAGAGTAAAACTTGATTTGAGAGTCAATCACATGAAATTGCTTTAGTTTACATTACACTATGATAAATTTTCTTAGCTATGTGGCTTCGCCCTCGCGCTCGCGCGCTTCGCGCGTGGAGCTCCACTACAAAACAACACTTACAATCAGTCTGGAGAGGTCATTCATGAACTCGCCGTAATGAAGGTGCCCTTCTTCTAGTAAATGTTTCTGGAACATCTGGTTCACAGAGTCTGAGCCCATTAGTGGAGCTATTGATCGTAAACATCCTTTACACGCCTAAGAAATGAAAGCTTCACAAGTTAAGCAGTAGGCTGAATACAGCGACTAAATGGGCGCTGACTGCAAACAGAACCTAATACAAATGATACCTCAGTCACTTCTCAGTTCCGTTATACGAGAAGTACTGTTACAGCGGAAATCCCCATAACTTAATTTGCAGATAAGAATTGATCGACATTGTTTCTTTCTTGATAGCCTTACCCTATAAGTGCGGTCAACAGCGACACCGCTATTTCAGAGAAATTCGACACACAACGAGGAAGAAGAGCTGGCCCCAGTTATTCAAAAGGAAGATAACGCTAAGAACAGGATAAGTTACTATCCACTGGAAAACGAAACTGGGTTTCCTAACACTTGTCCACTGAATGGTAATTTATCCGTTGGGTAGCGCTATCCAACTTTTGAACAACAGGGGGATGCTACGGACTACCTTTGTAAAGTAAAAGACCTCTTGACTACAGTAATATAAGCAGTTGTGCAACATACAGAACAAAATATTACTGGAAGTTCTGTGGCTTCCACAGGCCACTCTTTCCAGCATTTTCAGTGACCAGTAAACTAGTAACTGTCATAGCAAATTCGAAGCAAATCCTATGGTTAACATGTTACACCAGTTACCTTAATGACGTCATCCTCTTCATTCAGGTGTAACAGAACACTTATCAAGTTTGTGTGAACTTGCTCGAGGAACGGCGCTTTTGAAGGACCGCCACCAAAACGAGACAGCTTGCCAAATAAGGTAAATGCGGCGGCCCGCACTGCATCTTTGTCCTGTACAAAAAATAGCAAGACTTTCATTACAAACTCGCACGTTTTTGGGATCATTCTACGTTTCTGGGAAACTGCCCACCTACCCCTCCCCTAAGCCACCATTAACACTTACTTATCACTTAGGGCAAAATGTTGGCTTAGGGGAGGGGTAGGTGGGCAGTTTACCAGAAACGTATAATTATCCTGAAGATTTATCATTTTGCGATGGGGAAAGGGTGTAACCTTCTTCACTAAAGGTAACAGTGCTAACTTTTCTAGCGATAAATCGTAAAATGAAGCTTTCCGGGGAGTCTATATTTTGAGAATACACGAAAAAATAAGTCAAATCTCGTACTCGTAGTCGTTCTCGTCCTTGAATCTAAAGGTCTCTAATATTCTAACTGACTCCGAGGCTTTATGGTCATACTTCTACAGCGAATCCTTGTTTACACTTTTTGCCTCATTAACATATGCTTATCACTATCTGATGACGCTAATAAAATAAAACTCTGAATATTGAAAGGGCATAACAGTTTCAGTTATCTCTGAAAATTTGAGCCCAATACAACAAACGGTTTTTGGAGAAATTCTCTTCTAAAAATCCGAAATTTTACAGAGAATGTATGGCTCATTAACTGTTTTGCCACACAGCAATTTCGCAGTTCTTTTTATTTCCTTCAAGATTGCTTGCAAAGAGCTGAAAATTGCACAAATTGCTCAACTTTATCAGCTCTTTCAACTTTTGCATTTAGTTCATATATAGAGCCACGGCTTCTGTGAGTTAAGTCGTATGCTAATGAGGAAAAATGTAGACAATGACGTCTGCATAGATTCGCCTATATTTGGTTTGGTTTTCTTTGTGCTAATGTCTCTTCGAGAGAATGGAGTAGTGAAAAATTTCTCAATTGTCCGTAAAGGCTCGGAGTCATGTTAGAATTTTAACGTATCGAACGTGGGCCATTGAAAGATTTTATTCTAACAAATGATAACTTGTTTTCCCCACTTCGACATTCTCGCTAAAACTCGTAGTAGAGTGCCGACGGCTATCACGTTTTCCCGCCACGCGCCACGTTCACGCGCGCTTACCACTTAGTATTGAGAAAATCTCGTACTCGTTGTCGTCCTTGTCTTAGAATCTAAAGATCTCTTAATATATCGAACGTGGGCTATTACAGAAGCCAGTACAAATGTTACAGGTTCGCGGGGAGGCTATGTTCTAACATACGTTAGAAAAACAGTGACTAATTTTAACCCAGGAGTCATTTCATAAATAAGGGGAATAATATATAGATTTAGCCAAAGCTAAAAGAGAAGCTCCAGTTTATGCATTTTAAATTTACTTCACACAATGGACTTTAAACTAAACCATTGCAAAGAAATCGACAAACCTATACTTAACCTAATGGGAAACCATTTATGACTGAACTGAGAACATAAACTTGAACCTGCGATCAATTAAAAGCTAACAACCGGTCAGCGGAAAACTTAAAAAAGCACGTGACCTCTATGAGTTAGCACCTGAACTTGCCATACGGTAATGTAACACTGGTCAGCGGATACCCTGTTTTGACAGCTGTCACTTGACCATAATATGATCTAATATGGATGTCTAGTATCAAGTTAAACACAGGTTACAGGCTCCCACACTAGCTAGAAAGTTTGACATTTCACATTTGTTTCCCTGTGGTGCGGACAGATGGACGGACGGGCGTATGGTCACGTGATTACCAAAATTTCTCGGATACTATACTCGTTTTGGATCTTTGCCCTTTTCTTAATAAAACAAATATGAATAAACTAAATAAAAAGGGACAGTTACAGTAGTTTATAAGTTGCTTTTTACTACAAAAAAGTGAAAATTAAAAAATATTTCGTTTTATTTACAACAGTATACTCCTGTTAACAAACTTTTCAGAAAACTATCACGACACTGGCGTGTATAGGTATAGCCGTGTTCCATCAATGTGAGGCTAATCGTGCAAATTGCATTTTTCCCGCTTCCCTGGGATACTGCTAATAACTGTCAACATATCTTTTCCAAGACGCCTTTCAATTGAAAAAAGGGGTACGTTCTTATCTTGTTTTAACTGAGCGCATTTAACGGCAAACTGCTCTCTACTATTTCATAGACCAAATTCTTTTATGGGCAAATCCGCCTTACAATTTTCATTGAGTTAGTTGAGAGAAAACTACACTCGGAGCAACCTCAGCGACTACCAAGACAACTATATTATGGTATTTAAGGCTGAACGCAATATAGTAGGATGTGTTAGTTTGGCGAATGTCTTAAATCAGCTTAATAGCGAAATTACACTGATTAGATTATATGCCAACGAAAACTAGAAGAAGACTCTCTCTTGCATCACCCTATTCCTACTAATCCTTACCCTCAACATCGCAAGTCGATCTGACTTGTTTCTGAGTATCAATTATGTGGTCTTTCTGTGCAGTCGACCCTTACACTGAACGTGCTTGTCCGTTTCGTAATTTCAAAAAAGTTTCGGGATATACCGTGTACACCGCGCTCCTCATCTAAATGGGAAACAGAATTTCAGGCCTCTGATAACATCTGTACCGTTGCTGTCTGCCCTATCCTCGAAAGAAAATAATCGACCTCTAAACTTACGTATAGCGTTAACAGCTTTACACAAAAAAAGAGAATTGAAAAATTCCTAAAAATCTCTGCAGTTGAATAATCGGCCCATAAAAGTAAAATTTCTTGGTAATAAAATTAATTTTATTGCTTTAAGTAAGTCATTAGTATATTAAAGGAGCTATGTCGCAAAATTTATCAAAATTCAATCAAGCTTTAATATTTCGTGATCTTTGGAGTAATACTGATCAGAAGAGTAAGAGTAAAATAGGAGTTTCTTGCTTTTTAGGCCGCACCAGTTGCATTAGATTTTGGTGGGTTGCATAGTGCTGTGGTCTCTCGCTTTATTTTGAGCATTAAAGCTGGTTGGAACATTTTGCGCTTTTTGTGTTTACATCGATATCATGGTGGTCATGAAGGATCGTCAATCTTGATCACTGCTAATTGAGTTGAGAGCTTGAAACACTGTTTTGTAAAACTGATTTTTCTTGTACATGTAGAAAAATAGTAATGAATAATAATAATAATAATAATAATAATAATAATAATAATAATAATAATGATAATGCGAAAAACAAAACTTAAAAATAAAAGCGGTTTAAAACAAACTTTTAAAATGTATTCCAATGTATTTCTAATTTATGAATTAAGTTTGGCACGGCAGTAGCACGCCGTTTGTACCCTCTCACGCAGACATTTTTTGGACTTCCTCAAGTGTTGTAGCCCCATGTTCTTGCTCTTACAAACCTGTGGGATATCACACAAGCAATTTGGAAGCTGTTGTGCAGTCTGACTTATAATCAGCGGTAGCGGTGTATATTCGACGCAGAGTACTTAAGACCATCATATCTTACCACCTTAACAATTTAGCTGGTTGACAGGAAGTTAAACGGAAAACAGAAATTCAGAAAATTGCCCATGACTGCCTGCGGGAAATGTAAAAGTAACACCCGATTCCTCTCCTTTAAGTAAACAATTATCCCCACTTCCAGATGGTGGGCCAACTATTGTTGCTTGAATGCAGTACTTGTTGTTCTTCCTTAAATCAGCGCCCGTAGAGTCAAACAAAACTTCAAATCCGTAATAGCTCAAGTCTTTACACTGCAAAAGTGTGGAGGAGTACGTTCCTGTTTTAGAGATAACAGTTTTGCCAGTACTGATTTCATTCAAGTTCAATGTTACTGTATAGCTGTTATTTTCACTGCCGAGTAAACAGATTCCTTTTAGGGTAATGTTTCCGTCTACGGTAAAGCTAAGGCTGTGGCTTCTACCATATGAGCCACGACTACAGCCATCCATTCTCACCGACTGAAATCTACCAAGCCGGTGAGTAGGTTTTCTTCTAGGGACTTTAGAAAAAGCGACTGGAGAAGTCTTTATTGCAAAGAACTTAAACAAGACGGTGATTTCATCAAGATTTAATAAATTGGTATCAGGAACAAAAGTGGCAAACTCCTCTATTGTCATCAGAGGAAAGCGTATTGCTTTTATTGCTTCTTCGCCCAGTAATCGTCTTTTTATTTTACCTTCTGCTGCTAAACTTTGCTTCTCGCATTGTTTTGTTGCCCATCTATCTACAGCTTTAAACAAGGCTACTTCCTTAATCGTCAGAGTGTCTCTTGCGACTATTGCTTCAAGTAGAGACCTCTCAATTGTCTCAAATCCTTCCGAATTCACAGACGCTTCTGTCTGATTGTCGATCACTTTCCAGCATCGATCTTCCAAGGCTTTCTCTTCATATTTCAGTGAAGATGGCAGAATGCTAAAGACATTGGAAGGATCTAACTTTTCTTTCAGATATTCCGTGCATTTATCAGTGAGTGAAGGCACAATGTATTTCTTTGCTAAGTAAAGCACTCCCATCACATTACTTCCGCTCAAATTCACTTCATCGCTGTAGATGTAACGAAACAACTCCAACAGACTCTCATAATCGCAGTCAGGCAGTTCAACAGTATCTTTCGTCTCCGCCAGTTCACCGTAAAACATGGCTTCAAACACAGGACTGCCAATCGCCAGTATGAATTTGTGAGCTGGAATCACTCGCTTCCTTTCGCTTTCGCCATTGCTGTTTGCAGCAACAAACTTGACGTCGCTAAATCGATCGTTGTTGAGCATAAACTTGGCTCTTTCTCTGATAGTGGGTCTTGTCGTTTGCCAGTTTGTTTCGATAGACATATTCGTTTAGTGAAACCGAGGTAAGAAGTCAAAATATCTCTCCTTTTTCGTAACTTTTACACCCAAGCACCCGCTTTGAGTCGAGCAACAAATGATACCCGCACACGCAAAATCAATGCATATTAAATCGTCACGCGATCTGTCGCACAATATCAGGCGATGTCTCTCGAGAGGTCACGAAACCTTTGATAGCATAAATTCATAAGGCAGGCTGGACACAGTAGTTGCCATTACGACGCCATCGTTCTTGTTCTATCAACTGTCTTCATTTCGGATGTCGAACTAAAAGTTTTTTTAGAAGTAGTCAATAGTAATAATAATAATAATAATAATAATAATAATGATTAATTCTGGAACATATAGGCACTTGGACTGGATTAGGAAAAGAAGATCTGGACGATAATTTTTACCAGTTATTAATAATAATAATGATGAAAATACTCGTTTGAATTTCTTTGTAATTTCCACTGTACTGAAGCACAATTTCAGCAATGTTGAAGTTAATTTTAAAGGAATTGAAAAACGCATTTTTTAAACAAAATGGGCGCAAAGAACGGAGGTGGTTGTATCGTTTACGTCGCACGTTAAACCAAGGTCTAAAAGTAGTGGTTGCAGCGACACACTGCCCGACTTCTCGGCGATTTGTAAAGCCCTCGAAAATCGCTCCGCAAAAGGTACAACAGAACATGATGAATGACCAACTTAATCTACCCCGCCCGTTCAAAGAGGTACAAACGTGGCCTCTGAACAGTTTCTTTATAATTTCATACGTCATCAGACGGAAGGGAATCCAAATGCAACATGTCACTAAGAGCAAGTGCTCAGAAGCTCTCCCGTTTGCCCCGATTTTGCCACGATCCTCTTGAAGACTTTCACTGCCTTAAGGAATGTCTCCCTTCAATGTCTCCCTGTATTACCCGCAATCTTGGGTCAGTCTACAAGGTTGGCAAGGATGTCAGTTATTGGGCTAACAAAATGAATTTAAACGTCCAGCACTTTAGTATATATTTTTCCTTCATCTCCTAGGCATATCCATATGACAGTGTGTCTGCGCACAGTAGTTCTTCACCTTTTAATTTGATTCCAGCCTTCAGCTCAAGTGTTGTAAAATACATTATTGTTATTACTAAAACTGTTATTAATGAAGATAATGTGAACTGCGGAAATACAATAATTTAACTGAAGATATGAAAATTGCAGTGGTAATTGCAATTTAAGCAGTTGCAAATTAACCCGAAAAAAATGATTTTTCTTGTTCATATAAATTCGATATCTAGGATTTGACTCCTGGTACTTCTGCTTGATATGAAAAGGCTGCTTGATGGTATTCTAATGAAGTTGCTGATAAAATAGGCGTTGAGATTTCGGTCCAAGTGACATGAAAAAACCTTTATAATCAGTGTGTGGCTACTCCAGCACACTGCATTTTTCCAGTTTTCCTCGGGATCCTGCTATTGATATATAATTATTCACCGAAGTTAAAGTTAAATTTAGTTTTAACCTTATTTATGAACAAGTCAACTAAATAAAGTAACGCAAGACTTGAGCTTAATTTGCATAAAAACAAAAAAACTTTTTCACCGGTTTTATCGATAAATTCGAGTCAAAAAGACAAAGCTTCACCTGTTAAAATTTCCAAACCGCACTTTGTCACCTTCTTCGTGTATTTCGGGAACAGCTTGCTTGATTAGTTGTGAAATTTCCTTGTTTTTTACGGCGGAAACCGGAAAGGCATTTTGCTCGCAACTTACGCGAGTTTGACGTCGCTCGCTCGGAGGAACTGGAGGTGAATCAGTGAATAGTGGAGGATATTCACTGATTGAGTAACCAATCAGAGCGCGCGAAAAACACTATCCACTGTTTTAGCATATACTAAGGAAAAAATATCCTGCAAACAGACCTGAGTTGAAAAAATTGTGAAATTGTAGGTCTCTTCAATAGCAGCAATTAACAGGTTACGATTTTTAGGGTCAGTATTTTTGTCTTTAAGGGAAGACCTAGACTTTCTCAAAGTTCTTCGCTTCTCGTTTCCGGTTCCGGTAGTTGGCCCCAGCTCTCGCTCTCTCGCTCGCTTTTGCAGCAGAAAACATAAAAAATCTACCCCTCGCACTTCGCGCTCGTGAAAAAATTTGAGCTAGACTTGTAGGCAAGTCTAGTCTTCTAGGCAAGTCTTCTAGTCAAGTCTTCTAGGCAAGTCCTAAAAGGAAAATCAGGCCGACTTAGGAACTTTTGACTTCCCGTAAGCCTATTATATTTTCTTTTCTTCTTCTTTTTTTTTTTTAATGGGTCCAGACAAACAGTTATGTGTAGACTTTACATTTATACCTCACAATACCTGAAAAAAAAATTTACCGTAAGTTGTATAATATTTTCTTTGAGGACGGACTTAGGAAAGCAGACGATAACCTTTTACGCTACAAACTGTAATCCAATCTTTCACCTCAAATATAAACGTTACTACAGCAACTTACAACTTTGCATTAAAAAAAAAAAAAAATAGACAAACTCGGGATCGGAAAGCCGACGAGTCAGTCGTTAGAATAGAGGAGAACTCTTTCATATTTTAGATAAGCTCACTTTTTCAGCGAGAATAATAAGCCGTAAACAAACAACTGAAAACAAACGCAGTAAACTTGATTCAAGCGGTATTCAGCTGTATTTCGGGCACGAGTTATGGAAAAAGAGCAGCACACTGCACACTGCAGAAATTCTTGAATTCTACACACTGCAAAATTCTTGAATGGCAAGTATAAATGAATAAGAAAATGAATAGCAATCAATGGAACATGTACAAAAACAGCACTTCAGTTTTAATTCAAGAAAGGGGAGTAGCCCGTCTGAAGTGTTTCTAAAACTCTCACTATTGTTTTTCGAGCTTATGTTATGAATGAGCAGAGACAGATAAATAACTTAATTTCTTGAAACTTTTTATTAAAAAACCCATAAGTTAATCCTAAAAAGCAATTTGCGTAACAAAAACTGGATCGTCGATCCGTTCACGCAAGTTAAATAGGCTGAGCAAATGGCAAAAAGTCAATTTAAAATGCACATTTTGTGGTTTTTCATTCACGCTGATGTAAAAATGTAGAAATCTTCCATGAAACCTTTATAAATACAAAAATTCCCTTTTAAAAACGTACTTCCTTAACCATAAAGTACAGAATGTACCTCAAGTTTCTTCAGAAACCTCGCTGCCTTGGTTGAAAACAAACCAAGCGCTACGATCCGCCGTGTAGAAACGAGGTTCAATTCCTCGAAAGACAACTTCATAGCGAAAAGCTTTCGTTTGTCCACAAAAAGGAAACTGAGCATTCCATTGAATTTCTCTTTTCATCTGTATCTTTCATCGGCGTTTTTTCAATCTTGAAATGCAAAACTTTAGTCTTGAAAACCACAACATGACAACGCGCGCCAGCCATTTCATTGATGGATGACATTTACTAAGGTGTCAAATCCGTTCCTTCCCCAACCCTCTAAATGGTTGACATGACCATTGGACGTTTGTGGGGGAGGCGTGTATGCGTGATTTAGTTGAGATAATAATTTTTTCCCAAACCTCTGGAGCAAGAAATTTTTTCCCCCACATATAACGGTGAAAGACGTTTTTTTCAGTATTATACGTCATTAGTAATATTTTTTTCAGTGCAGGATATTGTTTTCCCCAGAAATTTCTTTGCATTCTTTTTTCCTTTCGAAGTCAGGCTGCAGGTTATGTTTCTCTGAAATCACCCATAAACCCCTCAAAAGTCAAATAGTTTGCCCCTGAAATCCACCAAACATTTGCTCAGTTGACAGATTCTGATTCGTCAATCATTTCTAAAGCCTTTTGAAACAAACTACCAAGAGAGTCTGTACGAACGGACGTACGCTGACGTCATAACCAAAATTTCTTGGATGGATAGTTTACCAAATTTTCTTACCCATGGTGCTCCGCTGCGAGGTCTCTGCTATGATCGTCCAGGTGAGTCAAAGGTGTGGTCCTGGAATAGGACTGTCGTTAACAGTGACTGAAGTTTCGACAACCTGTGCGGTAGTCATCTTCAGAATCAATTAACGTCTTCAGATACTCCTCGAAAAACGTCGGAAACCTTCGAAACCATTCGACAATTATAGGAAACGTTTGTGCAACTTTCGGACAACAGGAAATTTCACTTTCGGAAATTGACTAGTGTCGTACAACAAAGTAACACAGGCGTTATCTCAACACAAACTCTATATCTGCGCGCAACCATGCACTGTACCCTTTTTTATATATACTTTGTCTGCTAAGACTGGTTCGACGTACGATTTAGACCGTATAATTAAGGCAAACTTCACATGCGACCCCGGGAGACGGCTGAAATTCAAACTAACTGATAACAGTTAGGATCTACCACTGCGCTACCACTACCACTGAGAGTATTCACTGCGAATGTGAATCTTGTATACTAAATTAAGTCCAAAGCCTCGAGCCCCTAAGCTGTTCTTACGGTCGCAAAGCCGTAAATGGGTATCCGTCAAATGATTAAACCGCATGGCACTGAAACAATTACGAGAGGCGGCTGTGAGGAAAGCTTGACTAGAACCCCCTCCTCCAGTCCAATGTTAATATGTTTTGAATTTTTAGAGGCAAGCCTTCATGCGTTACTGTCATTTGCATGAACCATCACTCGCCCAACAAATTTATTGCGACAAAATATTGTTTTCTCATACTCGTAGATGATACCTGTGTCTTTTTCTTTCTTTCTTTATTTTTCGTTTTTATGTTATTTTGTTGTTATTAAAAAATATATGTACATATTTTTTATTCTATTTATTTTTTTCACGAAAACGTTTTTATTTTTTCATCTTCCGGGATGTTCCGGAATGTTTCGTGTTCCTGGTTTTATCGACGCCCGATAGCAACGCAGCTAACTACTAACCTTTTCAAAACAGGGCCTGATTCTTAAGCATATGTTGATGAGTATCTGTCGCACGTTATTCTCGTCCAGCTTAGCCAAGATTTTAGCCAGACCTGACATAGATTCCAGGGTTATTTCATCTTCCATGTCATCCTTGTCGTCCATGCCGGCCATCATTGCTGATAAAATCGTGGTTGAATATTTCTCCAGCTGAAAAAGAAATGAGCAGTAAGATCTAAGATGCTTGCCTTAAAAAGCAACTGACGAAGGAAACCATCTTAGATTTCCGAAACCGGTCTCGCTATTTCAACAGTTCTTATCAAGACTCTACGGCTACCATTATTGTTAAAGCCTAAATCTCTTCACTTGATCAACAATACCAAAGGAGTTATACATGGTTAGGGTCGAGTGACAATATTATTACACTGATACCAAGAAACGTCTTCAAGGTACCTCAGGCCCGGTTCAAAAATCGCATTTCACATGTGACAAAGTTAATGCTAATAAGAAAAATCTATTGTTTTAGCTCATCGGCACATAACAATTCCGAACACTGTTGGGCCAACAATGTTGGGATATGTTGCGTCCGTGTTGGCAGTGGTCTGCAAACTGAAGCAACAACTCCCAACAATGTTAAGACCCGCAGTGCATTATGGGAAGAATATAACCCATAAGACTTTGTAATCTCGAAGGAGACCATGTGTACTACGCGTGCGTGGCCCCATGTTGAAAGAGCCGCGCAAAAGTTTGACCGCTTTGAAACTCTGCGCAACAACATGCAACAGAGTGTGCAAACGGACGCAACATGTAAAATCCAACACTGTTGGGAGTTGTTCGCCAAAAATGTAGCGTCCGTTTGCACGGGGCTTAAGCCTAGTAAAAACTGGCGAAAGGAATGAAGGTCGCGTTTTACCCGAATCAAAGAAATCCCAAAACTTGAATTCTGACTATGAAGCACACGGTTCATTGTTCTTCCTCTGGATACCTTATGTTCGATGGCAGAAGAATCTCTCCATAATTTGGTTTGGGTTGCGATTGTTCCAGATTACCCATTTACTTTTTTAATTGGAATGAAGACAACGATACACAACGAAATTCCCACACTGACACCCGAAAATCAGTATAAATACGCCTTAATTTCCACCACACTTCAAATTGGACTGAAGATTTCGCATAATTTATGTGCCAACGTTGATAAAAGCCCACAATTAAATCCTAACCGAGGGGAAAAAAGTAAGTGACTAGATTTGAGTCTCAGTACGGAGGGTTAGTGGATGTTTCGTTTCCTACCTGGGAATCTTCTACACTGGAGATGTTACCCAGTCCTCTGATACAGAATTTGCGCACGACATGTGACGAGTCCACTAACCGACTAAGCAAACTGTTCATCAATATTTCTACTACTGCTACCTTGCCGCCACACTTCTGGTTAATTAACTAGAAAATAAGAAGGAAATAAGTGTAAGTTTACTTGGACTATAGAAATCAATTGTGTGCAGTTGTTTCGAGTTTGGATTAGACTGTGTGTCTTTATCACTATACCTCCACCAGAGCCCTGAGCTCCGCGTAGTTTATATTTTGCAAAGTAAAAGCATGATATTTCCAATACAAAGTAAAAATCTTCTCGATTACATACCTCTGCAAAGAACGCAGCCACTACGATTCTCTGAGCATCGTAGACACTGGAAAGTGAGGGGTTCAACTGTTCAACGACTTTGGGAACCTGCTGCGGAGCAGCCTTGCAAAAGGCCCTGAAAGCACATCATTACTTATCAATAAGCCATTTCTGAGTTGCCACAAGCCTCTGTTTCATATTGAGGCCACGTGCGAAGCTATTAATATGCAAATAAAAGCGATTTTCGCAAGAAAGGTTTTGCAGTTAGCCTCGTTTTGAAAGTGAGAGTGTTTGGAAATCTGAAATGGCCTATTTCCTTCTTGGTGGATTACTATTTGAATGTTCCACATAGAGGGCGTGTAATGAGCGATTTGACTGGGCAGTGCCACGCCTTGAAGGTATTGAAGTGTCTCGCACCACTTTCCTGGGTATTTCTTGGGGTTGCGGAAACTATTGTTAGTTCGCTTTTAAGTTGTGGTGTGGGTATTGTTGAGTGTCTTTTCAATATTTTGTATTACGTCATCTTTGGTGATTGCACTCGTCCGCAACGCCAAGAAACTACGGATCATTCTACGCTTCTGAGAAACTGCCCACCTACCCCTCTCCTCAGCCAACATTTTGCCCTAGGTGAGAAGTAAGTGTTAATTTTGGCTTAGGGGAGGGGTAGCTGGGTAGTTTCCCAGAAACGTATAATAACAACTGGAAGTAACACCAATGACACCTACATAACAAGGGATCAGATCGAGTAGCAACAATTTTATTAATTGATTGATTGATTGATTGATTAACTGTTGTTTTAACCAAGCGAAACAAAAGTAAAGCGTGATGTCCGCACAGCGCCAGCTACTTTTATTAGCTTCCAGTTTGGAAAAGCTCGTTAAAACATCTGCATCTGTTTGATTATTCCGCAAGTTGCTTGGGTTTTGGGTTTACGACATCGACTTTAAGATCGCCGTAAACTACATACCGTGCAATGACAACGACACCATCAGGAAATGTTTTATCATCTTCGAACAGTGTCCAACCATTTTCTTGGTCAACCAACTGCATAAGTTTATCGTACTTAGATCTCTCAAGAAGCTCTTTGATGCATTCTAAAGCAGTCCTAAAAACAAGAATTCAGTGATATTTTATGAATTGATCTTTCCCTCTTTCGTTGGCTGAAAGTGCAAGAGTCTAGTCTTCTAGAACTACCAGAACTTAATCTGGACTATTTCTTCGAAACTGTACGACTGCATGGATATGGATACAATTTTCCACTTGACCGAGTGAAATACCAGCTTATGGCATTTCTTACCTTTCCTTTTCAGAGAATTGAAGCCCTGAAATCTTTTTTTGGCGAGTAAGAAACTTTGTTCTTCACCCACTCAAACACTGAACTCCATGAAGCAATTCACACCCACAAAACAAAAATATGAGTTTATTGGACCACTTACACAAGGGGTTCCACCTTTGGTCCCTTATGTTTGTCCTTGCCTGAGGACTGCGGCGGGTCGGGTGGCAGGAGGCCCACTGATGTGCCTAGCCGTAAAAGAGTCATGGCAAAAAGACGCGGGAAATGCTCCTGCACAAGTTCACCAGTCTCTTCCGAGCGGAACATTTCTGTCAGGCCGCAAGTGATCTGTCAGAGAAAGCCATTCATCAGTTAAAGTTTAAGGCCGACAATGATTAAAATTTTCTAAACTGAAACTTAAGAGGGTTTATTACAGTACATAAGCGCACGTCCATTTTTTCAAAAAAGGTCGGGTTGAGGACTTTACCGTCCTAGACACGATTCTGGCATAAAAACTACCAATAGAAGGCAACTCTTAAAGCAAATATCAATGTTTTCTCCTCCAACAATGTATAACCTTTGTGGCAAAATAAAGAAAAGAAAATCCGCAAAAATGTCAGGTCGTAAAAGTATACCACACGTTTTCTTCCAACAATCCAGGCGAGCTTTGAGTAATATAAAGTTGCAATGATTCCAAACTACTTTACTCTGCCAACAGAAGGCAAAATCCATCATTTGAAGCAAGGGTAACCTGAGATCAGGCTCTATTTTCGTTTCGCTCTGAAAATTACATTCCGGCGGGCATGGCGAAACGAAAAGAGAGCCCCAATTTTTGCGGTACCCGTTAGAGAGAATGTATGAGAACCGCTAAAATTGGGCCTGATCTCAGGTTAAAGCAAGGGCTTACCGCAACAGGTTGTAAAGTTGCTACTCGTATGATCTCCTTTTTGTGTTTGGGCTTGGGTTTTTCTTGATAGGGAAGAGTTCGCAGCGATAGATCCAACACATAATCAAAGATGCTCAGAGACAAATTTGTCTCACCAGCCATCGTTCTCCAGATGCTCATCACTTGCCTGTGAAAAGGGTAGAAATATCGTTTCAATGCTCTAAACCTTTATGCTAAGAAATGCAATATTTTTCACGCCACTCTTAGAACGAAGGCACGTGAACAACCGTTACGTTTTCCCAGCCTTTTAAGAACACTCGTCAAATGACTCGTAGAGCATAATACTTCCTAAGGTTGTTACAAAGAACACCCAAAGGCGATGAATATATCATTAATCCACTTAAAGGAACTGCGTCACGAAGTTTGTCAAAATAAAAACAGGTACAACTGCGAACAAACAGAATCTAACATAAAAATAACTACTCAAAAAATGAAAGAAGAAATCAGCAAATACAAAAGGAAGCGCGGATGAACAAACTTGACGAAGATTGAAACAGATTACAATTCCAGTTAGCCACATTGTTTTTCAAAGTTCGCTTTCGTTGTTTTTAACGTTTACTGTAATGCTTAGGAGACATAATTGTTGACAGGACACTGTAATTTTGTCATTCACCAGTAATCAGGTCTCAAGTTCCATAGCGAATAAAGACGTGTAATTGGCATTATAGGCAAAATGAACTAGACGGTCGTGACACACCTCCTTCAAGCTCCTTTTGGAATGACCACAAAGACATGCGTTCAGTCCGAAGACAGGGGCACCCAACGACGGTTCCTCCAAAAACACGTTTAAGGCTATCCAGAGTACTTTTAGATATCTAGAAATGCATTCTAGGTACCGCTATAAAATTTGTATCTGTTAGGTCATCGTAGGGGAACTTGAGTCTTTTCGAAATTACAAGGGCTTCTGTATTATTTTCCCGAAAGTTTTAGATGCAATTTAACGTATTACGAAGGAGAGAATTTTTCTGATTCCTCTTTCCATCCCATTTTTGAATCCGAAAATTTTAGGTTTCCTTTTTTCTACACGAAAAATCTAACCTTGGGAGTGAAATGTGAACTTGGGGAATTTATTAGATGAGCTTCGAAAATAGTACATGAATGGAACGGTCATCTAGAAATTTTGAGCCGTCCTCAGGTAATAGAAAATTCTAGACAATATTTTCTTCTCCGAACAGGTATTTTACAGAAAACAGGCTTTGGGTACCCCCGCGAATAAAGGAGCAAACTTCTATGTATACTTAGAATGGAGCCTCGGGGCCGAATGCGTCATATTTCCAGTCCTTTTAACGACTGAATACTAAAAAAGTCTACGTTAAAACGTTATTGAAATGCCGAAGATGTATGCTAGGGAAACGCACAACCTTAAATGTTATGGATCAAATATGAGAAACACCTTTTCATCACAAGATAAAATTCTGAGAAGAGAGTTAAAAATACGATTAGCAGTGGACTACGTTCGACGAACCTCGAGGTGCTTGATCTTGTGATGAAATTCTGTGTCAAATGTTTGATATTGGTTCTCAAACAAAATGATTTTAAAAGGAGAAATACAGGATAAAAAATGAAGAGTTTTTCACCTGATTTCCAAACACTCACTAAACTTCAAATTCCTTTGTATGTTCTCATGAATTATTAATCAACTTAAGAATCTATTCCCACCATGTTTGTTACTTGTTCTTAATCATAAAGGGTTGCTATGATGTCTTTTTTGTGCACAGTACGTTGACGTAGCCGAATCCTTGTTCACAACCAAGGAAGAATCCGACAAATATTCTAAGACTTTATACTTACTGGTCATAGGGCAGGGGGAATTCCAATAACGCTGTTATTACAGGAACTAAATGATGCGAAGCCAAGGTTCTGAAAACTCGAAGAGTTCCTGTTCTGGTTTGAGCGTGCGTGATGTGTTGAAGTTTAGCGTGAATTTCCTTAACTAAATAACCAACCTGAAAGAGAACAATTACTGTTCACAAAGATGATCAACGAACCGAGCTAAAAGATATCCTTTCATTTTAGGTATGTGTTCATCCAACTTAGGCCGGTTCAGACGCCGACCTTTTCATGAGCCGAACCTAATACATTGAATTAAGTACACGAAAAGTTCGGCGTCTGAATCAATTAGGAACGCCTGTTTCAATTTGGAACGGCTCAGCCGTTCTTCTCGCCTAGCCCAGCCGGGAATTTCGACTTTGGATCGACTTTGATTCAGACGCCGAACATTTCATGTACCGAACTTAATGGATAAATTGTCATAACGTATTTTGTAAGCTGTTTCACCGAAATGAGCATTTTTCTCCTTCTGAATTTCGTTCGGCTGGAATTAAGATCGGCGTCTGAATCAATTCAGCCGGTCTAAATAATTTGGATCAGCCTGAATTCGAATTAGGTTCGGCTCATGAAAAGTCCTGCGTCTGAACCGGGCCTCAAGAATCGTCTTGAGGTTTAGTGTCATGAAAATGCAATAGATTTTCAAAACAAACGTTGTAATGTCACTTTGTCTAGTTGTTTTTTTCTCGATTTGGAAATGAGTTTATATTTTACCTGTTCTTTCTAACACACACAACAAAGAAATAAAACGTCCCTGTATTACATGAAGGTTTGCCAATTCAGCTGAAACGATCTAAACGTAACGATATTAATAATCAAAACTGCCTTTCTTGCGCTTAGTGTGAACTGAGGAGGAAAAAATCAAGCGTGCTTTTTACTGTTGGCTGTCAGTTCAATGTCGTAAGCGCGTTTCTTAATCCCCCAAACCAGTATATGCCTCTATTGCGTCCAGTCAACCAGGGCGAGTAACCATCTGACGTCATTAACCCAGAGAGCCTTGGGCGCCGACCAAAATGGCGGACGCACGAAGTTCGAACCCGTCGTATAGGCCTCTTTTGAACAGCGACAAAAAACCTAAGGTAAACGAACATATTTATGTGCGAAAAATCTCATTTTTGGGATCTTTTAGAGCATTTTGGCAACATTTTCTTTAACAGTAGACGCTCCCTTTAAGTAGATAATACAGCTTGTAAAAACTTACATCTTGTCTTAACTCTTGCCCTCGTATTCTAACAATGCTGTTAAGCACCACACATGAACCACTGGAACTGTGAGACTGACAATCAGCTAAACCTTCTAAAAGCGTTTTAACAAAGGACGACAAAAAATCACTCTGAAGTTTCTTTGCAATAACCTGCCGACAAAAAGACAAGATAATATGGCAAATAAACATCATTAAAAAGAGAAAAGAAAAGAAAGAGAAGAGAAGAAAAAAAAGCAGCATACTACAGTCAAAACCTGTTAATACGGACACTGAGGGGACTATAGAACGTTTTCGTATTAACAGGGTGTCCGCATTAAGCGAGTTGAATTTAGGGAAAATGGAAGGAATTTCTCTTCCCAGGGAGAAGTAAACTGTACGTAATAATGAGCTGTCCGTATTAAGCGGGTGTCCTTGAGGCGAGGTTTGACTGTATTACCAGAATCAATTTCGTCTTTACTTTCAAGCTTAATTTTGTAACACCTGTAAGGTTAAATTATAAAAGACTTAATTTGCACAAGGCAAAACCCTGAAGGATTCTGGAAGCAGTAGTAAAATGACTTCATTGCGCAAATGGACTATTCAGTACCGTCAAGTTTTGTTTTACCTTCGCCAAGTCACTAGCCACGCTGAACAAAATGTTAGCATCATCTTGAGCGGCTCGCTGCTTTAGCGTCGGTAGCGCGTCAACCAGTTCATCCTTGCTTTCAAGAGAATATCCTAAGAAGAGCAGTTTATTTTCACCTCAGTCATTCCATTTTTTGAATTAAACTGGACGGAGAGATATGATAAAGTTATCAAACATCTTCGTGTCAAGAAAGGACTATCCTTTCTTAGTGTGTTAACCTTCGCCTTCACCACTAAACTGGCACTATTTATGCCTCGAGAATCAAGAAAATCGAACTGGTCTCCAATGGAGAGTAAATGCAGCAAGAACTGAAATTAAACATGTTTGCGCGCATTTTACTCGTGAAATCAAGACAATTTGTTTCTTCCGCAACTGAGTAAAGAGATAACTTACAAAAGATGGCCTAAAATATGCGCTTTACAGTACTATCAGCCATCGCGACATCTGTTGATTCTCTCAATAGTAAATTGTTAAAACAAACAAACAAAGACACTGATGATTTATAACACACTGCAGCAGGTGCGTGGCTCTAATTTGATAAGGGCTGCACCTAATTTTACTTACAAAGCCTGGCTTACCCCTATTCAGACCGAGGTTTAGACTAAGGAGTCTAAAACTCCGTTACCATGGTAACATGTACGTTGAGGTACACGTCACAACGACTTTAAAATGTTAAGATCTAAATTTTAGGAGAAGTCGATAAGTTTGGCTGTCATAGCCTGAACGGTTTTGAAGTTGTTCAACTTTAAAGTGAGAAGGGCCTCAAAAGCCCCCCCGCGGTCTGACTAGGGTTAAACAGCATGAAAATTGCTCTTGGATAACTATAATCACTGTAACGATCACATATAGCAAATAACGGATCATTATTCGTTTCTGGGAAATTGCCCACCTACTCCTCCCCTAAGCCAACATTAACGCTTACTTCTCACTTAGAGCAAAATGTTGGCTCAGAGGAGGGCTAGGTGGGCAGCTTCCTAGAAACATACAATGATCCCAAATAACAGCGATTTTTAGCTTAAGTACCTTGAAATCTTGCAGCTATTTTCAGCAAGCACTGTACACAGTCCACTGCCGTTTGCCGAATGAGTATTACCGGGTCGGTACACCGGGGAACCAGACGAGCCAATAGCGGGCCAGCCAGGATAAATGAACTGGGCTTCTACAGGTGAAAAAAAAAGGGTTGGTAACTGTTTGACATGTGGTCTGCCTTCCTTTACGTGATGCAAAGAACACAAATGGTGCAAAAACACCTACAAGAACCTAGATAATCCTAAGTTACATTTAGATTCAAAAGGTTCTTATATATAATTATGTGAGGTCTACCTAGGCTTGTGGATGCGTCTGTGACCGAGTGGTTAACACCTCGAACTCTGGTTCTGGAGGTTTGGGGTTCAAGCCTCGCCCGTCGCGTCGTTCCCTTAGACAAAGAGCTTTACTCCACTCTGTCTCTCTTCCTCCAGGTGTATAAATGGGTACCGGCGACATACTGCTGGGGGTAACCCAGCGACGGACTAGCATCCCGTCCAACGGGAGTAGCAATACCCCTAGCCGGTCGGGCCTTTGGCTCGTGTGCGCCTTTACCTCTAGAACCACAACATATACACTCTACTCCTCAGATGCATTTCAGGATCGTTATGCTCAACACAGAGCAACAAATTAAGTTGCTTTAAAAACACAAAATTGATTTTCCAATTAAGTACCTGTTTCAAGTTTTAGGCCTAACAGGTCCTTATATAACCTGAAAATAACTGTCAAAGTTCTTAATTACCAGTTTTTTTAGCTTTAGCCTGCGTCGCTAGCGGTTTGTTTTGCCAGAGGGTAAAAAGTTGTTGCGTGTACGAACGAGAGGCAAAGCCGCGCTGCGAGAAAACGGTTTCTCGCTGTTTCCGCTCCATTCTTCACGCGCGGGCTTCGCCGCTCACTTGCGCGCTCGACAAGCAAAACCGTCAGCTATGAAGGCTACCTCGGCTTTTACAGATTAAAAGAGGGTATCAAAACCTACCCCACCAACAGTCAGTAACATGTTGTCGCGAAAGGTTTGCAGCAGAGAAAAAATAGTGTCCACAGCTCTCTCTCGTTCGACATCAGAGGTTGATAACAACCATGGATCTTGAATAAGCTGCAAAGACAAGCAAGAAAAACAAGGCCAACTAATGAGCTTACACCGATAGCAGCAAGAAACCCTGGCCGACTGGGATCTCACACCCTGTGACAAGAGTTACGTCTAAAAATCCGGGTCTTATGAGCTAGCTAACACAATTTCCCGTGAAGCACAAATCACGCGTCAAGCGTTTTGTTTTGTTAGATAAAATGTGAATTTGCCTGTTAAGTCCACGAGCAAAAAAAAAAACATCTGCGACCTTACTGAGACTATTGAGTCCTAATAAACCCTGACTAGAAACTCGGTTTTAACCTCGTCCCAGGTCTCCTACCCTTGAGGTTTCCAGAGTCCCCAGCGTCTTCTCAACAGCAGTGAGTTCAGCAAGTCACTTTTCAAGTCACGTTTCTCACGAAAATATGGTTTTTGGCGAACAGCGTTAATTAGTTTCCGTGAAACGTGACCTCTACCCTCCTAAACCCGCCCCCTCACGCTTGCCACCATTTTTTCACGTACTGCTAGGACTAAATGTCGATATGTGCTTATGCACAGTGATAGAGATGTGTCGGTGAATTTTGAACCAGGTGAATACATGAGAAAGATGATTTTTCTGTCAGTAAAACAGGCGAAAAAATCCGAATGCTCCTAATTGGAGTCGAACCCATGACCTTCTGGTTACTAGTCCAGATGCTTTACCACTGAGCCACAGAAGACTCGTGGGAGCAAAGGCCACTAAACTAGGTTGCCGGTGTCAAGGACTGAAAAATCATCTTTCTGACGTACATTCCGTTTCCACATACCTTCAAAATATTCTCGAGTGTTGGAGAAACAGGATCTTGAAGCAGAAGCCCCTTCAGTAATCTCTGTAAACTCTCCAAGGCATGTTTCAGTAACAAGTTGGGATCTTTGTCCTATACACGAAGCAAAAAGAACCCAAATCATATTCAGCTCCTTTACAGAAGAAAACACTGTTGATATCAGCAGTAAGAGTGATACAAAATCTTAGGAAAACTGGGTGTTTTTGCAATGCTTGCGAGTATAAATGTTGCAGCCTGAAACGTACGATATATTAGCTCGAAAGAAGTACTGAGACGTTAGCCTCTTGTAAATCACAAATATACTTAAGAGGTAGCCTATGGTAAACGCCTTGCAGGTGTTTAAGAGACGATAATGAAGACACGCCTTTGAGTCTGCACGAAATTCTGTGGCGTAGCCATTTCCTCGACTTCTACAGTGCATACTTTCAAATGGTAGCACTATTTCTTTCTAGAAATTTTACAAAACCAAATTTGACAGTATTATTCTAGAACTTTTATTTCGGGAACCCTTTAGTGATCCACACGGTAACACTAAAATGGGGGCCAGGCCGGTTCTTACATGATCGATGTCATCCTTGTGATGTTTTCCTGGCGGGGATGTTGATTTTTCTCCAACACGGATCGCAAACACACAGTCGGTACTCGTTTTCACGATGTCAAACACTTCCGCTTCCGTAAACCTGGGATGCAATTTTCTAGTGTTTAGATAATTGCCGTTAAGGAACGTTATCTAATCAGTTAAGTAATAGGCTACTGTAAACATTTCGTGTCCAAAATGAAGAGCTGCCATAGAAACTATGTTGGTGCTGCGTACGTTTCATAGAAACTGTACTGGCACTGCATAGGTTTCATAGAAACTGTATTGGTACAGCGTAGGTTTCATACAAACTTTGTTGGTACAACGTAAGTTTTATAGAAACTGTATTGGTCCTGCATAGGTTTCATAGAAACTGTATTGGTGCTGCGTAGGTTCCAACGAAATTGTATTGGTACTGCGTAGGTGGGCAAGTAAAATCAACACTTTGTTTTTGTCAAATAAGTATCAAAGCTTAAGGATACGCTAGACTCGCGCATGCGTCCATTGCCAGGGCTCTAGTTTCCGTGGTGATGCTGGAGGCTGGTTCTGCCTTCATGTAAACCTACATGGGGATACAAACAAACTGGTTGAGTAACAGAAAGTTTGCTTATAACGATATACAAACGCTAGAAGCGCACAGTGTTTTTTGTAGACTGCGACCAGTCTCTCATTTTTCTTTGCAAAGTTACTCTACGCGTAACCCACGCGTGATAAACGCGGGCGTAAGCCCGTCGTATCAACGCACCATCAAGACGTATCCGTTTTGGACCAATTTAGGTTTCTGGGAAACTGCCCACCTACCCCTCCCCTAACCCAATATTTTGCCCTAAGAGAGAAGTAGGTGTTAATGTTGACTTAGGGGAGGGATAGGTGGGCAGTTTCCCAGAAACATAAATTGATCCCGGATATTTTTTTCTCCGGTTTGGTCTACCGTGCACACGTATGTGGTCAAAACGGTCACCGAAAACGCATTTTTCAAAAACGTTCTCCAGACTGGAGATTTTTGAAAACGCTGGCTTCTCGTCTACGTGTGGACACTACGCTTGCTCTGTGGGGGATGCTATCGTTTCAAACATTGTTTAGCGTTTTCGTGTGGACGGGCGAAAACGATTCGAATACGGTGCGTGTGGACGCGTATTTTTTCAAAAACGGAGGACAAAATTCTTCGAAGGCCACGAGCTTCCTAAGGGGGTTCTGGAGGCATGCCCCCCCGGAATTTTTTTAAATGAATGTGCGCTAAGATGCAGTCTGGTGCATTTTGAGCCACAATTTTGAGAAATGTTACAGTGTGTGCACTGACCTCGTCGCGTCGGGATGATTTTTCCGATGTAGTCACTTATATTGTAATAATAACAATATTTTTTCCGGGGAACCTGGGCATTTGGGGGGGCGAGGGAAGCTTCTACCCCTCAAATACCCTAGACAGAACCCTGAACCCTGAAAAAGGGAAAGGGGGTTGCAATACTCTTAGGTGCTCCTGAAACCCGGTACAAATCGCAGCGCCAAGGAAGTGTCGGCATAACCGAGTTTTCGTGGTACAACGATAGGGAGGAGACAGATTATGGAAACTTCAGGATCAAAGACACTATCCTCAATAAAGGAGTCCATAAGGAGAAGATCGATTATACTTTCAAGCGATCTCGCCTTCTTAAAAACTGTGGTTACTCATTCCCCTCACCAGCATGTGTTGGATAAGCTCCTGTCGCTTGGTAAACACGAACTCCGGTTGCTGTAGACGACTGGGCTCCAACGCTTTGCCAATTAGTTCAGTGGCTCGAATGAGATTCTGCTTTACATTCACATCCTATGGAACAGAAAGAAATATCATTGTTTAGTCTGTACAGGGGATTGTACGGACCTCGCCTGCTAGCAGGGCCCAGATGAAAATTACTTGTGTAATTCTCGTTTCACCCTGGCTAAATAAAGTCTTGTTGTTGTTGTTGTTGTTAGCAAGCACAGGTGAGCTCGCAGGTAAACACGAGCCTAGACAGCTCTAAAAGCGGCTCTCTGCCATGGTTTAAACACCTTGGGGCTCCTAGCTCTTCTACATAGTACGCAAGCCCCACTTGTGTTGGTTGAAACTCTATCCTGGGGTGGCGCAATTAGTTTCCCTAATATTCATTTCACTGAATAGCGATTTATCTGTTGGATTGCGCAATCCAACTTTTGAACAACCGCATCAAGGAACGTAAATATAACCAAATTCTTGCCGGTTGTGTCCTTAAAGCCCCAAACGCAATCGCATCAAATTTCTCCTTGTAATACCCACAATTACTATGCCAAAGACGTCACGAGAATTGAGTCCGTATAGTTTTTTCCTTGTGAGAGATCGGGTTGTACGATGACTGGTCTAGTAATCTGTCGGTATGTATCGGTTTTCTCTAAATTTTCGCTCGTAGTCTTTTGTTGTCGCGAGTGACCAAGCAGTCCACAAAAGGTATTTTACCATTTTTCTCGATCTCCTTGGTGAAATGTATGTCCGCGTTCTGTCTGTTAAGGTGTTCGTGAAAATCGTCGATTTCGTCTTTGTGTAGAGCTGTAAAGTGTCGTCAACGTAGCGTAACCAAAGAGGTATAGTTTGCGTATAAGTAGCTAGGGCTCGTTCCTCGATGTTTTACATAACAATTTCTGCTACAACAACAGAAACTGGATAGCCCATAGCTGTACCGTGTAACTGTTTGTAGTGTTTGCCGTTGTACTGAAAGTACGTCGAAGTTAGGCAGAGGTTGAGCAGTCTTCATAGCCAATAACATCACGGCTTAACTGACAGTCGACCAATAACATCGCGACTTATTGACCAATCAGATCAATAACCAGAGTAAAGTACCATCAGTTGACGTGATTCAACTCACGTTGCCTCTGAAGATGACCACCGCACAGGTTGTCGAAACGTCAGTCACTGCCAACAACAGTCCTATTCAGGACTACCTTCACCCAGACGATCATGCTCAATCTACTTAACAAATTTTTCCTTACTCCCTCACAAGAAATGAATCAGAAAGAGACGAGAGTTTATATTTTGACATACATACGGATTAATTAACGCATTGATAACTCATTGATCCGGTATTACAGGAAGCTCCAGTTTTAATAAGTGACTAGTATAAATCATGCGATTCTTGGAGTACGAAACACTTCACCTTTACGTTGCTAAAGTGACGACTGATGACTCGAAAAATACTGGTTTCTAGTCTCGAAGTTATTAATCTGAAAGAGAACATACCAAAAAATTATTTACTACCAGGTAAAGTTGTGAACGTTTCACGAAGGCTTGGCCAAAGCGTTTAACTAAGCCCTCTGTAATTTTCACTGTTAAAATAAATGCATGGATCTGACTTCAACTATAACCTTGAAAAGAAAAATACCGTAACGAGAAATGCCTTTACACTTGGTAGTTTCTTGGTGATGAGGATGGGGGCAATCATAAAATGACGTGATTTTAAAAATCAAAAAGACAATGAACGATATCAATACCACAACAAACAACAAACAAACAATGGTTTCCGCACTAGTATTCTCCACATAATAAATAAAATTAACTTTTGTTCCCTTTATCAACTCGATAGGCCGTTTTCAGGTACTGGAAATGTTCTAAAAATAGAGAGTTTAAGTATCACGTATACGGAAAACGGTAAACGTCAGATTCAAGTTGAGAATTTCTCAAAATAGAAAAAAATGATAAAATCAGCTCAAGACAATTTTCATGAATAAAGAATTGCATGAAACTACTAATTTACGTGTAGAAATAATGAGCAGTAAACGACAAGTAAAGGGGGAAACTTGGTCACGTGGTACAAATTCGCGTTCGCCGTTTGACGTAAACGTGATGCTTAACCTCTCTATTAATGATGACCACGTGAAAATACACGACGTGGATATTTACTTACCCAGGTGGTGCGTACATAACAGTGAAACCATAACACAACATAACGGTGCTTTTGACCCTCTCCGTGTCTGAATCAGATTTATCCTAATAAGACAAGAACACAAAACTGTTCTAGAGCGAAACATTAGGCAAAAGTATTACCCACTAAAGATTGCTTGCAGATAGCTTTGCACTGCCTTCCCCAACGACAAATGAAATGTTTACGCAAGTGAGGGAAAGTACTTCTACGTTTGGCTTGACATTCAAATATCAAATAATTTTTTAATTAATTGATGAATTAATAAATAAATGGACAGCGCCTGTATATCACGTGACCGTACAAAATAACGTCAAAATAATAATGAGAAGAACAACAACGACGACGAAAACAACAATGTATTGATAATCTTATAATAATTTAATAATAAAACATTATTAAAGTATCTGTAATAAGCCAATAGAAGTTATGGAGGCTAAACTAATCACCTTCATGAAGCTCAATATTCCTGAGGATTTTTTGGTCATTTCAGTCTTGGTGACCTGCTCCAGTTTGGTCAGTACTTGATCAAGATTGGTGCCGGCACAGAAACCAACTCCTATTGCACAGCCCTGAAGAAGCAAGAGTGTAACTTTCTTACAAACAAAATCAATTTGGAAAAAAGAACCAAAATTATTTTTGCGAAATAAAAGAAACACTAGCACTAACCCGGGGCCAAATCTTAATTCAAGTTTCTTTTTCTTACGTTCAAAAGCATTTTCTCGGATACTTTTTTCTCTATTCTTTATGGAGCATCCAGACATCAAGTTGTAGACAAAATTAATTAACCCGTGTTTTTTCTTTTTAAGCTTTCATATCTCAATTCAAATTTCGCACTAACCCTGGGTTATCTTAGTCTCCTTCGCAGCCGCTGGGGTTGGAGTCACGCAAAGCTCCTCGCCCCCACGTAGCCTGAAGGTGTATTTTGAAGTTTGAACGATTTGGACGTTGAAACAAACAGAGAGTTCGGGCGAGTCAAATAATGATTCCAAAGGAGAGGTTGACGGGTCAAAATAGAGGAGGAGGAGGAGACGACAAAATAGCCTTTTTCTCCACGCCCCTCCCCGTTGCTTCCCCCTTCCTCCCTTAGTTGATTCAATTGCTTTCATGATCATGATGGCGGCCGCGATCAATGTACCTCTGGGTAGCGCTTTCGATACAAAACGGCTGCTCAGCAGGCTAGCCTCCAGGCGGAGTTATCTTACCCCAGTTTGGAACAACTCAGCCCTGTAATTATTCTCGACAGAGCCACTTTGAAAGCTTTAATAATCATCATCTTAGACGAGAAATGCTCAGTAGCTTCATTTGGTAAGACTCATTCACTATGTAGTCAGCAAAATAAACATCATCAAAGGAAAGTAATACTCAGTAGCTTTTAACTGAAACGTCTCACTATAACCAGCCCCAAGCGTTAGAGCCATCTTGTACAGCATAATTAACAGTCCCATAGGAACAAATCACTACTCAATCGATTTCATCTGAAGGGTTTATTCCAGACTCAAAAGTTAGAACCACCTTGTGCAACATAATATACAGTGCCACAGAAAAGTACTGCTCAGTTGCTTTCATTTGAATTATATTTTGGGAATTAAAATTACTTAGTCACTTAATGGTATGTATATTACCGAAATTATAGTTTTTATACTTTACTTCACCTCTCTTTCCACTTGGCTTGCATGTTTCACATTGCTAAACATGATGTTCAGATGATTTTGTACAAAGCCTTGGTTCTTCACTTTGTTCAGAACAACGCCCAAACACTTGAAAAGAAAATTCTGCAAGCAAGGATATTAGAAAATAACACCAATTACAAAAAGGGAAAAAATGTCAAAACAGTAACATTCTTGCATTTCCTTGAACACAGCATTCTTGTTAGTCTGAGAAAAAAGCCGAAATTTCGTGCCGCTACCACTGGTTTGAACGTGAAATGACCAGGAACGAGCGCAGAAATTCCATACTGATGACGTGCCACTACCCAGATCTAAATAGTGTTTCTCAGTGACTGGTCGTGCTGTGTGGGAAATTTGTTTCAACTAATCTGAAGAATTACTCATATGTGGGCAGTGACACCTCAACAGTATGGATTTTCTGAGCTCGTTTCTCAGACGTCATTTCGCGGGGAAACCAGTCGAGGCGTCTCGAAATCTCGGCTGTTTTCTCAAGTCACATACTTGCAATTCAATGAACATTTCACAGTTTGCTTATTACTGGCAGTGAAATTCTTGCACAGATTGGTTGAGCCAGTTTGGGTCTGTAGATTATTTTCACTGTTCTTATGTTAAACTATTCTTTGTAAGCTCTGGAAAGGTGAGTCCTGATCGCGTATTCCCGTTCCTTTTCACGACCATCCCACGAACTTCTTAGTAATAAGACAATGGGTATGTGCCGCTGGATGGGGAGGCATTTTCACGACTGGATTGACTATCATGGGGTTCCATTTTTATAAGAGTTACTTGAATGGGGTCGCACATTTTCAGGATTTTGGGGGTCAGAAAACTGTTCAGGTGTGTAGGGAAATAAAAATAGAAAGATTTACACCACATCAAGTTTAACAAACGTGTCAGTTCATTTCAGGATGGCAAAGATGAAAGGATTTATAAGGTATATAGATGCATAAACAGAAAGTGAATAAATTGGGATTGCGAAAATTACTTTTTTCCCAATCATACATCGTGCGCTCAAGGTTGGTGAATCCCGCTTCCTGGGTAGCAGTGAAATCCCGTATCCCGTAAAACGTTTCCCGAATTCCGCATTGTATTTTGAACAAATCCCGTATCCCGTAAGACGTTTCCCGAATTTTGGTCAAATCTCATGTCCTGGGATTAACCTTTCACACGGAGAACCGTTTTTTTGTACCTTTTCATCTGGTGAGCTGGTATAAAGTGGGATCTGAGCCGCCAGCCCTGCGCCAAGCGAACACAGCCACTCTTCCGAATCGACTTCATCACAGCTCTTGGAGACAAACTGAGAGAGCAAACGTTAGTCATAAATACACCTTAGTCCATGAAATTTCATATAGCAACACGTGAAGTTTAGTGATTTTGAACGAACTGAAATTAGCACCACGGCTTAAACGCAAATAACTAAACTTTCGTGTTTCCAGGAAATAAAACTGTTGAGACACCAACCTATTTGTTTGGTTTATACGGAGGCTTAATTTTTTCATAAAAGCAGGCACTATTAGAACAGATTTTCAATAAATTACCTTTAAGACCAAGTCCTCCCATGCCTTCTGCTTCCAATTCTCTTTGTCATCAGAGTTTTCTGAAGAAAATATAGTACGTGCACAATTCAGTTAACTCCTAGCTAAAATCCGAAAAGACTTCTTGTCTTTCCAAGCTGGCTGTTCGTTTCTATGTAAACACGCATTTTCCTTCATCAACCTAACAACTCTTGCATTTCATTGGATAACGTATACATATAGGTTCATTTGATTTCACACTTCTTACGAAAGAGGTGTACTGATGAAAACCTATGAAAGCTCCAAGATATCTGAAAATAGTGGAAATAAATTGCAGTTTATGAAAGGATGTGTATGGAGATCAAAGTAGCATGCGCTTTGGAGTTGACCACTAGGAGATTTATCCTAGATTTATCCTAGTGCACAGTTTGAATCCAGTAGAACTATTTTTATTACCTTCTAAATATTGCACAAGCTTAGGAATCACAGTGTCCCACATCTCAACTAAGTTAGGTTCCAGGATAGGAGACAACGCCTTCAGCAGTTTAAGTACATGAATTCCCCGCACACCACCGGCAAGGGCACAGCCTGACATCACCTGAAGAATGGCAATAGGGAGTTTAAACAACAACGACGGTGAGGACTACAAAAGCGTCGTTTGAAAAGTGAATTCGTGCTGCCTCAAACTTTATCGCGCTTATTCCATCTCGTTTAATTCGTCAAATGTTGGAAAATTGTTTTGGGAGGTGAATTCTAAAGGGCTATACTAGAGTTCAGGAAAAGAAAAAGAAAGTTGTTGTCTTTTGTTCCCGTCATGGACAAAACGTGAAATTAGGAAGTTTCAGGTTGTAGTCGTGCAACAACGGCTTAGGAATAGGCAAAAAAGCGTGAAGCACGTGCAAAGTTGTCGTTTTGCAAATCTAACCCTATTGCTTTTATGCCGTTGTCGTTGAAGTCACCTCGTTGAAGCTCCCTCAATAATATTTACAGTAGACCCGCGATAACTCCAACACCGATGATTCAATAATCCCCGCTAACTCGGACTAACTTTTCTTACCCTTGATCAAAATTTCACTAAAATTCACCCTTATAACTCGAATTCAGGTTCTTGTAACTCCACTCAGATGTCATTCTAATAGCTGTCCTTGTTGTATAATCAGTAAAAACCGACTAAAACTGACACCACAGCAATTTGATTTTAAATTGGTGCGACCAACAGATGTCGTTTAATCACAAAAATGCATAATAATGTTACTATTTCTGATGAAATAGTTTAATTTGCTCTTTACTGTACAGCGAAGTACTAAAATAGCAGTAACTATCAATCATAAATTATCAAATATGTACTTCAACCTACCAAGAGACGGGAAATTATGGCCGCTGGTCTTGGTATATTAGCTGTCATGAAATTAGAAAAAAAGTAAATTTCTGTGTGATCATTAACACAAGGAACACTAAACAAATCAAAGATAAATGCATGTAAAAGAAATAAGAGAAGATGTCACGGTCAATATTTCACAAAACTCTTCCAGAAGCTATACAGTTGGTCTACAGACTGCAAAAGACTTGGTGATCTAAATGTAGGCTACGCACTAGGTTGACATTAGTGAGTTTCCGCAACAGGACGGTTGGAAGAAGAGGACGGCAAAACGCTTGTGCGTGACAAGCGTGACAAGGCTATCACTTGCGTGTTTTGTCGTGATTTTCACCTAACATTAAAGGGACTGGTTCACGATAATGCGCATGTGTGAGTTCTGACAGTAGCTGATTGTTTTTCAACCAATCGAAAGTGAGTAAGACGCATGCAAGTAAATTTACAAAATTCAAATTAATTGTTCGCGACGCGAGAGTATTCCGCGCATTTGGTTTGATTTTATTTATCCCCATAATTCAAGTTTATTCTTTGCTACTCCTCAGATATATGTTGCAGCCGATTAGAATAAGATTTACAGCCCTGTCCTGCTTTGAAACAAACATTTACCAACGTGTATTTTTACGAGGTCGTACCCACGCTAACAAAGCAGTCACCGATCGGCAAACAAAATTTGTAAACAAACATCTTGTTACTGTTCTCTCAGTTCGTCTTATATAAATCCAGAAATACCTACAAATAGCTCCTGACCGGTGACAAAAACGTACAACGTATGAGTATAAAGATTATCCTTAATTGAGCATAAATTTCAAATGCTTATCAGCAAATGAACAAATTCATTCGCGTTGCATCAGGTCAGTGTTCCGCAAAACAAATGTTATCGAGTAGCACAAATAAAGAAACTAGATTATAAACAGAATACTCAGGCAATAATTTATTTAAAAACATCAATTCTTAAACATATACGATCGTAAAGCAAAGATACAAGGAAAATTTCAAGTGTACCAGATCGGTGAAGATCGCGCGGCCCGTTGCGGTATAACTACAGGTCGGAGTCAAAAATCAAATCAAAGTTGAACGAACTCATGCCTTTAACCACTTTCAAAGTGTCGTGTATACTTTTCGTAAGCCACACACTACTCCTAGAACCATACCAAATCGATAGGCTAAGCTTCTCTATCTTCAAAGACTATTGAGAACGTCCTGTTGCCAGACGGCCACGATGCTCTTCTGAACCTCCATGATCAAAACATTATTTTTTGCGTCTTCTTAAAACGTAACCACTCAAACGACACAACCACACGTTAATCACCACTACCGAAGTATAACTAGACCAGCCAAAGCGGCGGATGTCCGAATAAAACGAAGGATTTTCAATGATTGTACCGGTAATGGCGATTTCGAATTTAGTGTTGACCCAACAAATTTATTCTGAAGAGACAAACGGCGCGCATGCGCATTATCGTGAACCAGTCCCTTTAATGTTTTCTGGTCTTTTACAAAAAGATCTCTTTAAAGGAGAGTGAAGTTTGCGAAAACTAGTCTCCCTCGCAGCCGTTTTTAGTATCGTCGCGCAACGCTACTAAAAACGGCTGCGAGGGAGACTAGGCGAAAACTTATTTCAAACAAAATTATTGTCACGCTTGTCACGCAGGTTTGCCGTCTTCTTTTCTCTCCCGTCCTGTTGCGAAAGTTCACTATCAACGGCATCTGTTTTGTATACTGTTAGGTTAAGCGATGTAGTAATAAACAGAAGATGCTCAATTTTATTTTTTTACAATCTTTCTTTATTTTATTTTAGGTTTATCACTTACTCTTCACTTCAAAATCAATGTTGAAATCAGGTGCCTGCTCCTCTCGTTTCTTTGTAGCGAGGTGGCAAATGCAGCGACAAAGATGGCTCATGGCGTGTGTATAAGGTTCAGGAATAAGACACTCTAGCAAATATGGCCACAGCACCTTAGGTTAAAACAAAGAAGATGGTTAAAGTTCAAAAATGGGGACAATCTTCATATACAATCCTTCAAAATAGTCATTTGCAACTTACTGTTTCCATGACATCCACTGTGGTTGTCAAGAGGAAAAGAATGTTTTCACACATTTTCTGCAGTGCCTGAGGTGATATGGCATCCGCATCAGTTGGTCTTCGTGTCTTCTGTTAGTGAAAACATATTAAAGCAAAGAAAGTTAGTTATGTTCTTAATTGATTAGAGTAGTCCATCAAGAAAGTAGAGGTGCACACGTAGATATCTGTCATTTAGGATAACGCTTTTTTCAGACAGTGACTCAGACTGCTAAGATTTGAGCAAAAAAAATGGCAAGTTCTCAAAATAAGAGTCATACAAATCCCTGACCTTTTGGTTACTAGTCCATGAGAAGACACATAGGAACTAAGGCCATTAAAAGAGGGTTCATACGACAAGCATAATGTGGCTCAATGGCCTTAGCTATCACACCGTACAACTAATCTCCTGTAACCATGGTTCGTACAACTTCAGACATAGAAATTTCAAGGACTTTTCAAGGATTTTTCAGGGACAAATTACAGTTTTCAAGGACTAAGATTTATTTCATAAATCGGCATCCGTTAACCCCCTTTGATCACCCTATTAGTCCTATTGGCTAAAACACGCCATGGAGTAATTTACGATTATTACTTCTTTGGCCATCGTTGATCACATTATTTTACACTACTTTGCGCAGAAAGACTGGGTATGACCTCACCTCCTCATCACTAAGTGCACACTGCCTGACAATAAATTCAACAAGTTTGTGTCCTCCTTCTAGTTCCAGGTACCGATGATGTGCCATGGCTGTTATGCACTGTGCAAACATGTGCCGTACCTACAGAAAAGTATAAGGAAATGTTATTATAATAACCAAAGACGTTCTCCTTCTAATACAGAAGCGTTGAACTCTCACAAGCGACCATCACCCACCGGTAAGCAACTACCTATCCAAAATAAAAGATTAAACCACTTTTTCCAGTACAAATAAATAAGAAGTGGCGCATGAAATAAGGCCCATGGTGATTCTTCATGCAATATGAGATTCTCCCTTTTGTTCAGAAGAAGATAAAAGGCAGTTTGAAAGCAGAGTCTAACATTTCATCAGAAATCATTAACTGAGGCTCTTTCTTGCACACCCCTTCATATCATTGCAGTTGGAACCTTTAACAAGTAGCCAACTCCAACGGGCGACCCCCAATCCTGTTATTGAGTCGTTGATTGTGGGAGATCGGACAGGAATGTATTGTAAAAGAGCCCTTGATACAAAAGATACTGTTGTTTAAATTTGGTAATGTTAAAATGTATAATGTATGGCCCAAAGTAGCTTTATTTACCTACTTTCTTCCTTCAGTCCAAAACATCAATTATCTATTCGCATATATATTCATATTACTATCCCCTCTCAGCTTATTTATGGCTTATCAATTACGTGAAACTCACTACCAAATTTACTCTGTAAACAGCCTCTCCGCTACCCGCCTAGATTAACTCTAGCTATTTTGCGGGCTAATGTTGTTGTCTGTATACTTGAATACTAAGCAAAATCTCTCAAATAAACTTTGAACTTTGAATTGGTTAATTAATTAAAAACAAGACAACATTCAAGAGCTATTGTTAGAGTCACATTTACCTTCAGGTTATGATCAGTAAAGAGGATCTGAACTCCTGTTACAATCATCTCTTCTTTGTTCTCCAAGTATGAACCTGGGAATGAACGAACCAACTTGTCAACATAAAAGAGTTTGATAGTTCCTCAAATTAATTATAACGCACAAAAACAAGAAACATAAGTTCTTGTGATCTGTCTAAGGGGCATTGCTGGAACCCTGGAGCCCATCATCAGACTATGTTCAGAATACAGCCGTCTCTCCTTGCTTCTGAGTAAGTTAAGTGATAGGGTGGGGATATTTTGTGCCCTGTCTAAAATAGAGTAGAAAATTGCATCTAAACATAGTCTGAGCTGATCTGCGAATACAGCCGTTTCTCCTAGCTCCTCAGCGCTAAGGACGTTTCGCCAAGAGGAACGTCTGCGACTCAGCGACAGAAATTCCCTCTGTTCGTCCTGGCAAAACGGCCCTGGCAGCGAGGAGCTAGGAGAAACCGTTGTATTCGCAGGCTAGTTCAGACTATGTTTAGATGCAATTTTTCTACTCTATTCTAGACAAGGCACAAAATATCCCCACCCTATCACAAACTTACCATGATCCAGAAACTGCAATCTTCATACCACTAATTTTCCATACACGATAATTTTTTCTGCACAAAACTCTCTAGCTTTTATGCCATGCCTTATCCCAGGCTTAACTGATTAACATTGCAACCCTACCCTTTCTGAATAGCACACACCACCGCCTCTGTAACTCGAGCTGGCAGCTTGTGAGCCTTACAAGGAGCCACAAGAAATTTTAAGTTTTTCAAAGGGCATTTACTGCATGGCTGAAGTAAAGGTAACACAAGTCTACATTCATTTCATTGTTAATTAAAAAGAATAACTGCCACAGGCAACATTTAGTCAACATTTTGAACTCACCAGAAGAGTTGACCAAGTGCTTGATGATCGCCAAAGATGCAGTTCTAGGTTTCTCATTGCTCACTTCTAACTTTTGAAGCAGGAATCCAATGACACGGTCCGAAAATGTAGGAGCTATTGATAACAAAAGAATGTTAATAAATGTTCAGTAAAAGTATTAAAAATATCGCAAAAAAAAGGCTCAGAAAGTAAATAAACGAATAATCAAAGGATGCCTATGGCTAACTCGTGGATTATATAAATATTTTAGAAATGAAAGCTGATGATGAACCTGCAATTAGTCTACCGGGATATCCCGCAGTAGTCAATCACTAAAATCGGTATCGATTTTTCAATCGATAAATCGAAAAAAATCGGTAAATCTGATTTGATTGATATCGATTGTATCGATCACTCGGTAGAAATCGATGACACACACGTTTCGTTTATCGATTTATTTTGATTTTTAGCGATTTCATCGATTGAAATCGGAAGATACATCTGTTCATGAAAAAGAAAAATTGAAATGGAATTCATACAAACAGCAAATCTATTGACAAATGAGTTGCAATTAAGAGTCTGAAGGATCAAACATTTATCACTTTTAAATAAACCGTTAAAAAAAATCTTAAAATCTTCTTCTGATGGCTGATAGTAGTCAGGTTTGTAGGCGCTCAGGTTTTCAGGATTTAGATCCCCCACCCTTTCAAAATAACGTCGGTGTAGTTCGGGGTGTAGTTTATACATCCCGGAAGTAGTCACTAGATAAGAAACGAAATCGATAAAAATCGTTAGCAATCACGTGATCTTATCTATTGATAACGGAAAACGAGGGATTAGCCTGACTGCTAGTCTGCTACACAGCCGTTTTTAGTGTCGTCACGCAACGCTCCTCCCCACTAGTAGTTAGTGGGGAGGAGCGTTGCGTGACGACACTAAAAACGGCTGTGTAGCAGACTACCTGAATCCCGACTTAAAGGAATGTCTGAAATTTAGGGTAGGAAATCTTTATCTAAGGTTGTATTTCTCCTTATACTTGCCTGCAAGAACTGAATATAACTGAACCGTTTTTCTTACGTACAAAATAAAGGGTTTTAGAGAGAAAATTGCGTGTCTAATAGTTACCACATTTCTTTTATTCTGTTTGCTGATCAGTTGTTACTCGTGGATGTGTTTTCTCAGCTGTACTATTAAACTCATGCCAAAAAACAATAATTGCAGGCTTCAGTTATAAATCGTTAAAATCATGAAAAATCGATAATATCGATTTGACACAGCAATTAAGTTTATCGATTTTCACCGATTTCCGTTATCAATCGATAAAAATCACGTGATTGCTACTGATCTTTATCGATACTGATTTTTATCGATTGACTACTTAGGGGGTTATATTATAAGTCTGTCAAAAAATGAAAATATGTTTAAAAAAAGCAAAACAAAACAAAACAAAACGACCAAAAAATAACCCCGGACCTTAGACGTGTGAAGTCAACGCGTAAATATATCTATTATACTACTACATGAGAAATTTCTGCAATCTGATTGGCTTAGAGCAGTGGTGTTTCAGCTTCATTTGAAATACCTACATGTGAAAATTACAAACCTTTTGCGGGTAGTAGTATAAACAAAAAAATAGCATGATTTGTACGTGATATTTGGCATAAATACAACTCGTGATATTTCAAATTTCACTCGCCTAACGGCTCGTGAAATTACGTATAACAATTTGGAAATATCACTCGTGGTATTTATGCCAAATATCACTACAAATCATGCTATTACCTACACAAATCTTCTGCCCATAAAATTCTGCCGGAGGACGCTGTCTGAAGCTGGCAGAGCTTTATTTATGAAGAATTGAAAGATACATTCGAGGAAAACAAGCATGGTTTTGACAGTTAAAGCTGTACTTTAACTCATTTTTGTCTCGCAAAACCGTCGCGAAGTGTCTTGCTGAAGGCGTTGTACAGTTGGTAATTCTCGGCGTTTTAATACTTAAGGAGAATCAATCATGATTCAGCAACTGTAAACATTTCCGTATTTATTGAACAAAGAAAGATTTCATTTCGGAATGATATTTCACTAAAAAACATGAGATTGGGACAAGGGCACCCAACAAGAATATAGTTCAAAACCACTTAAACATAGCATTGTTGAAAGTATTTTAGTCTTTAAAAGGTAGATATAGGCATATTTTTATCCCCTAAAAATTTTTCATCTGTTCGGATTCCTAGCTTAAAGTCTAGTGATCCGAAAATTATAGGGATCAATACTTACCTTTTCGAAAATTTCAGCCAGAAAAAAGGCTCCCGAAAATTCTAGGTGACCTTTTCAGGGTAAAAATCCGTTAAAAGTGCGCGATTATACCAGTTTTTAAATGTTCGAAAATCCTAGGAGAGGCAGCAAGTAAGAAACTTTAAAACAAATATTCCGAAAATTCTAGATCTCAAATAGATATTTTCCAAAAATTGACGTTGGGTGCCCCTGTTGGGCGTCTTGTCGTGAGAAAAAGTAAAAATTGTGAGACTTATGGCATGTCACGGCAGAATCATGATCTTGGAAGACAGGCAACCCAGTCTCACTGTTGGTGTCACGTACGGGTTTCATAACATGAGTAAATATAAAGAACATCCGGAGCGATGTTTAAGTCTGGAAATTTGCTAGAAAATGGAAATAAAAATCGCTAAAACTTACCATGTGGCGAGTTGTTGTTGTCCTTAATATGCACATGAAATTTCGGGAAAAATAGTCTCCTTCAACTTTCCTACAGCGCATGTTAAGTACAACAACAACTCGCCACATGCCTGATGCCTTGCCTGATTACTCAGAGTTTTTGGGCAGAAGTTATTAAATGGTGTAGCAATCGGGGGGTGGTTATTAACCATCTCTCTGCTAAAGATATATTATTTGGGATAAAGGTACGTAAAGACAATTTATTTATTAATCATATTTTGCTAGTTGGTATTTAAAGCAGTATATACATAATTGCAGATGCACGAAACCAAAACCCTTGTTTACGAGTTTTCTTGGCAAGACTCAATAACGTTTATCAATTAGAAACTATCATTGCCAAATCGAAAAATAAAATGTCTTTTCATTTATCGAAATGGCAAGCACTCTTGACAGGTGGTACACAATTGCCGACAAATACTTGTTAAGGTTTAGTAGTATTGATACTGTCGTTGTGTGTCGTGTGTGCTGTGCGTGCGTGTGTGAGTTATTTGTGTATTATTTTTTTTAACAATTGTAATGTCGGTAATGTATGTAAACATTAATGTTATTATTGTAAGGCAAGAAAATGAAATAAACAGTGATTAAATTACAAAAAAAAAACAACTCGCCACATGGTAAGTTTCATCGATTTCTATTTCCATTTTCTAGCAAATTTCCAGACCTAAGTCATTTATATTTACTCATGTTATGAAACCCGTACATGACACAAACAGTGAGCCTGGGTTACCTGTGCTTGGACCAGCTTTTCGTCATGTTTATCGCCTGGACGAGTCAAAAATCTTGAAAAGTTCATAAACTTCTGGCTCAAAGTTGTATATAGTGCTAATTTGAAATATTCAAAGTCCACATGAAGACAGCTTATGTACAAAATCATAACATCCAAAGCTCTGGGCAATCGCGGAACGGGAATAACTGGTTCCTTACGGTACGCATAATCCAGTAGTTAAAAACTACGTGCTATGAATTTTTATTTACCGGTCATAAACGTTGTTAACATATTTATAGAAGCCAGGCGTTTATACTGACAAGGGCCGCTCTTAATTAAAAACGACAGCGTTTAAAATTTGAGCAAAAATAATGTTAAAATAGTGGGTACGTTTCATAGATACGTAACTTCTCCTATGCCGATGGAAACGAGGTTTTATGGCGTCTTCATTAAGTTAGCTAAAATCATAACTTCCGCAGCTTGACATGTTTGGACCGTTAAAACTTCCTCTCTACGGGTACAGCTGTATCTTAGTTTAAACAAAGGCATATTAGTTGACTGACAGCTTAACCTAGGTAAAGAGAGCTAATGCTCGGAAAAAGCGCGCATTGCAAGAGTACTATCCCACAGTCGTCGGAGAAGTGGTAGAACTAACAAATTTCACGGAAGATAAAATCCAGACTAAGACAGCCGAATAACTGTCCTGCTCGGTAGAATTTACTGGAGGGCCACTGTGAGCTTATCTTTCTTTCATCAGTCAATGTTTTTTGTTGACTGAAAACAACCTATATGATTGGTTTAGCTGCACTGGTCGACCGTGTAGTCGCCAGTGCAACTCCATGGTAACAGATTTACCAGTCTTGGAGGATTTTAACTGTACTATACTGTAGGTAGTCAGTTCATCTTGCAACCAGACGGAAATGTGCGCAGCACTAAGCAATTTTACGGAATATGAACTGAACCAAAAGACATATGAAGAACTGTCCTGCTTGGCAGAATTTTCAAGAAGAGCACATGGTGAGCTGATCTTTCTTTCAGCAATAAATGTCTTTTTTTCTGCTGCTGCATTTCTGGGGAACACTCTGATTCAAGTTGCTCTAAAGAAAGTATCTTCACTTCATCCGCCGTCCAAACTCCTGTATCGTAATCTAGCGATAACTGATCTCTGTGTTGGTATCATTGTGGGACCTCTTAAGGTCGCCCAGTGGATTTCGATAGTGAACGAAAAATGGAATATTTGTTATTACACAGCCTTGGCAAATACTCTCTCGGGTTTCCTTGTAACTACGGTGTCTATATTGACACTAACTGCATTAGGCTTGGACAGACTTCTCGCTCTAATGCTTGGACTGAGATATAGACAAGTTTTAACTTTGAGGAGAACATATATCATTATAACTGTTATGTGGATTTTGTCCATCGTCTTCCCATTAATCCACTTTTGGAAACCTTTGAGTCCTGTTCACTCACGGCTCTATGGCACAGTATTTCTTGTATGCCTGGTTACCTCATTTTTTTCATATACAAAAATTTTCATCACTCTTCGGCATAACCAAAATCAAGTACACAACCACATTTTTCAAGGGCAACCTAGTCAAGCCGCTGCCCTGAACACAGCTCGATATAGAAAGGCACTGTACAGTTCACTGTGGGTGCAGATAGCATTGGTTGTTTGTTATCTGCCGTTCTCTATAACCGTCGCATTGCTGGCATTTAAAGTAGGAGAAACGGCTTCAACGGTCTTGCATCTAACGATTACTTTAGTGTATTTCAACTCGTCGCTTAACCCGTTGCTTTACAGTTGGAAGATCAGAGAAGTAAGGCAAGCGGTGAAAGAAACTTTAAGGCAATACATCTGTTTATCGCATTAGTTTACCATCTTTTTCATTGTAAATTCACCCTCTATTAAAAGTTTAATTTTCACCGACAGTCTTATTGAAAATTAACCGGTTTCTGTTATTAAAAAATTAAAATTAAAACTTTAATAAATACTCCCAAAAAAAAGGTTTTTCAGTACCTATTTACAAATATAAATGCAAGCCATATCTAACGAGCTAATAATTGTTAAATGCTAACTGTCATTCGATCATTCATTCATTATAAGTTTCAGGGCTTTTTTAAAGGCCTTTACAGCTGTAGCGTTTCTAAGGTCTTCGTCTACCGTGTTCCACAGGGATACTGCTCTATAGGCGAAGGTACGTTAGCCAGTGGCTGACCTGAATAATGGGATTTCGACCTTCTCATTATTACGGGTTGTGCGATTATGTACAGAAGATCGTTTTTTAAACTTAGCACATAGGTATTCAGGAGCTAAATTGCTGGCACACTTATAAGCCATAACAGCGTCTCTGAATTTGAGCATCTTGCTAACTGGAAGCCAGTTGAGTTCGTCAAGTAATGGCGTCACGTCGTCATATTTCCGAGCGCCGCAGATAATTTTGCAGGCGAAATTCTGAATAAGTTGCAGCTTTTGGATGTTCTTAGATGAGGTATTAGACCACACGGTCGAACAGTAGAGCATTTTGATGTAATAATTACAACCAAAGTCTTTCTATCAAAACAATATTTCACGTAGCCTGCGAAAACATCCGTTTCTCCTCGCTCTTCGCCGCTGGGGACGTTTCGCGAGGAGGATACGTGTGGACGGGGCCTTAAACAGTGAAAGTTAAAGAAACAAATTTATTAAGGCCCCGTACACACGTATCCGGAGATTTTTGTATCCGCAAATTTTTTTAATGCGGATACACCTAGCGTCCACACGTGTCCGCCGTATACGCTCGTTGTATCCGGAGATTTCTGTATAGGCTTTCCAGAGTGGAAATTTCTGTATACGCTGTGTATCCGGATACGTGTGGACGCTCGTATCCGTATATTTTTGTATCCGCTGACGTCACAGTATCAGAACCAGTCTTTTTCCGCGCGAGATTTGACTAATCCTTTGAGATGTCCGGATACGAATCGGATACGTGTGGACGGTCGTATACGATTCGTATACGCTACGTGTGGACGCAGATATTTTTGTATCCGCATAAAAAAATTTGCGGATACAAAAATCTCCGGCCAGACACCGGAAATGTGAAAGATTGCCTCGAATTGCCACCCACAAATTTCTCGATTTTTACACTTAAAAACTTGACTTGACGAACTTATTTGATTAGTTTCACCGTACTGTATTGTTTTCCATTTTGTTTTGTTTGTATAGTTTTTTTAACTTATCTGATTTCTTCAAATTTGAGTTGCAATCTATGTTTATGGTACTATGATCAATTGGTTCACTTTGATAAAGAAATTAATGCAAACGGATATCGTCAGAGTCTCTGGGAGTATTCTAAACGTTTCTACTGTTCATTTGAATGGCATTTGATACCTCATATGACGGTTTCACTGTATACTAACTAGGAGTAATCGGAGCTTAGGAGAGTTCGTTCGATATGTTTGTTGAGGCGGAAGGGTGGTTGCGATGTAGATAAATATGATTATGGCATATTTTGAACGTACGGGTTTGCGTACAGCGAAACCTCTATTTAAACTGTGTATCATTTTAAGAACGTTTTCAAAAGATATCGTATGATTCGATGTCAAGTGCTTTTAATCGGAGGAGTCATTGGCCAGCGTCGGACGTGTAAATGGAACATTTTGTTTTACCGGCGCGAGTTACAGGGCGCATTTTCTCAAAGGCCAATTAGTTCTTAACCCGGGATTCTTTTTCTTTCTTCAAAAACATTTCTTCGGATAATTTTCTCTGTTATTTTTAACAGCATCCAATCATCAACTTGTTGACAAAATGAATTACATTGAATTTACTGGTTTAAAAGCTTTCACATCTGAATTCAAACTTCGCACTAACCCTATCAAAGCCTTCAATGGAACGTGTGTGCGGCTCCCGTCAATAACTTTTCCAGTAATTTGGTCGAGCGTGCTGATTTCAGTGACTCGAGAGTGGCGCTACTCTGTCCGGTGCCGAAAATATCACAAGTCATGGTCAAATTGCGCCGCCGAGCTTCACATCTCGGTAGATTTACTTTGTGGCACAACGGCTGCCGAGCTACACAACTCGTAAATTTACTTTGTGACAAAACGGCCGCCGAGCTACACAACTCAGTAAATTTACTTTGTGGCATAACGGCCACCGAACTAAACCCGGTTTGATGCATGCACCAGTAGTCGCAGACATTTTCCAAAGACAGTGACGAACCATGCTGAAAAATATGAACGCTTAATCTAAAGTAAAATTTAACAGCAAACTCCAGAAAGATGAACGCCTTGGACGATTGAGTAATCACAGATCGATGTACGCTTTACGAAGATTCAGCAATCTTTTCAAAAGATGAACGCTTTACGAAGAATATCACACCTTAGCAAACCTTTGAAAGATGAACGCCGAGGACACAAGAATCACCACATGAGTTAGCTCGTCAAAGTGAGGCAAAACTTAAGCAAGCGCCTCAAAGCGAGGCAAATGCGTGTCGACGACGACGAACGAAAATGAAATCTCAAAGAAACCTCCCTTATCAATTGCACAGGTCACCCAATAATGCACAGGACACCCAACACAAATAAATGGAGAAATGGGTAAAAAAGAAATGACTTTATTCAATGAAGCGAAAGCCACGATGTCACCCAGAATCGAAAAATGGATTATGGAAATGCAGGACGTTGACTATGAGCTGGTGTACGAGCCCGGAAAAGACGAAGCAGACCCCCTAGACTACCTATCCAGGCACCCACTACCTGAAACAGGAGATGACAGCACCGAAAAGATCATCAGATGGACCGTGAACACAGAACATGCTGTAGTCCTCACAAGGATTAGAGAAAAAACCCCGAAAAATGAAGTGATGCAAAAACTAGTGAAGAGAATAGTGAAGGGAGACTGGGAAAAGCACAAGCGAGACAAAGACCTGGAACCATATACCTTCACGTGAAGCAAGAGTTGTCAATCACAGAAGGACTGATTTTCAGAAAACAGCATATAGTGCTACCAGCAACCCTACAGAAGAAAGTAGTCAAGCTAGGACACAAACTTGGACACTTGGGCAGGACCAAGACCAAACAGCTACTGAGAGAGAAATACTAGTTCCCTTTAATGAACAGTATGATTGATGCAGCCATCAACCAGTGTTACGAATGTCAAGTAGCTATACAAAGGAGAAGAGAGAAGAACCCATTAAGGTGACAAACATTCCCAGCCACCCGTGGGATACAGTATCCATCGACCATGGTGGAAAATACCCAGATGGCCACTACAACCTCGTACTGATTGACAGAAGAACCAGATACCCAGTAGCAGAGGCAGTACCCTCAACCAATTTCAAAGTCAACAAGGAGAGACTCAAGCACATATTCGCAACCTATGGAACTCCAAAGAGGATAGAGAGCGACAACCGACCACCATTTAGTTCGAAAGATTTCCAAGAATTCGCTCTTGAAAAACGATTTGAACACCACAAGATTACGCCAATCAACCTTAGAGAAAATGGAGAAGTTAAGCGATTCTTGCAAATGCTAAACAAGAATGAACAGATTGCGCACCAGCAAGGAAAACGCCGCCTAAAGAGACAGAATGTAATACAGGACATGCTGACTGCATACAGATCAACCCCACTTCCAGCCACGGGAATCACCCCTTATGAGGCAATGAGAGGAGCAACCGTAAGGACCAAGTTGGATCATATTCAGCCAAAAGCGCAGAGATCTGAGAAGGACGACATCATAGATGAGAGAGATGAAGTGTACAAACAGAAAATTATACAGAACAGAGAAGGCAGAAACACAGGACAAGGAAGACTTCTGCTAGGTGACAATGTGTTGGTCAAGCAAGAGAAAAGAAACAAATGGAGCACGCCATACGATCCGGTATTCTACGATGTACATGAGATACATGGATCCAGAGTCACAACCAGACGACCTACTGATGAAAGAACAATCTGCAGAGATATCAGCCACTTCAAACTTGACTAAACGCTTTAAAGCATAGAAACTTTATTTTGTTTGTTGTTATTTCAGACTATGCTTGAGTAACACACTTTGTAATGCCAGGGAGGGATGTGGTATCCTGTGTAACTTCGCACGCATTCTGTATCTATATCACGTGATGTTTACCATAGAAAAAGTTCCAACTATCATGGCGGTGTGTGCGTAGTGGATATTACAAAAGGGAGAATTTGACATTATATCAAAAGACACTTAGAGCTTTATTCCATTCACTCCCTCTTCTTTAGTATCTGTGAGCTCTTACATGATTCAGTATGTGCAAGGACGTGCGGTTGGGCATCTTTTGCATGCACGTTCGAAACAAATGAACAGTTTTTTGAAGTTTGCCTAATTTAGAATATCTCTGTCAGCAACAGACCAATAAGCATTCCTTATTAATTGGCACAAGGCTACTGCTGGAATATTACGATGCTATTACAAGTAAATTTGACCGCACAATTTTGATTTACATTGTAGTAACAGGGTTCGTACAGGTTAAGGAAAACCTGGAAGTCATGGACTTTAAGCATTTCATTTTTCACGCCTGGAAAGTCATGGAATTTAATGGTCGGTCCTTGAAAGTCATGGAAAATTAAAGTTTTGTTTGACAGATTAGTTACTGCCGATGACAAGGCAATGACAATGTAACAAAGAGAGAAGTGATTGAACAGCGCGAACGGCACGCATTTTGGTGGACACCAGAGTTTGTGTCTGTTGAACTGTGTAAGGTCCAAAAATACCCTAAAACAAGGAAAGGCCTAACAATTTTTGAAAGTGACAGCTAAACCTACGGTCTTAAAAAAAAACTTTAAAAGGTCATGGAAAAGTAATGAAATGTCATGGAATTTGAAGAGCTCCAAAGAGTACGAAGCCTGAGTAATGCAATTCATTCCTACTTAATAAAGCCATCCTCGAAAATAAATAACAAGATTAACTATTGCGGTAAAACCCCGCTCTACGGACACCTGCTTAATACGAACACCTAGTTATTACCAACAGTTTGCTTTGTCCCGGGGAAAAAAACCTTTGCATTGCAAATTTACGTAAATACAACCCGCTTAATATGGATACTTTCTATGACCTCCTAGTGTGTGTATTAAAGGAGTTTGACTGTACTTTTGACCTTAACATTTTTCAATACTCTTAGAGTATTAGAAAGTACTAATATTGAACGGTACTTACTTAGTACAGAAAAGCATCGCAACACTTCATTGTGGTTTTTCACAGAAATTGGATTTGAATAATCTGGTAAGTTACACGCCTGAAAAGATAAAGAAGTTCATTGGTAGACTTTCAAAAACGACCTTCCTCCAATTTAATGTGGCGCGGGACAGGACCTCTCGCGACTTCGTCGCTCGCTAAAGAAACTCGTGAGGGCGACTCGTAGCAAGTCTAGTTCCTTGGGTTTACTTCAGTCCAAGAAGCTGTGAAGTTTTCTTTCTTTGTAGTCGACAACTGTTATTTTCCTAGGTTCTATTATCATCATGTCAACTTCTTTGTGTTCTTTGCTTCATATCACTCACGCAAGTTACGGTTCTTTACGCACAAACAGCGAGCAATGACAATAGTCAGGGGTAATGTTCACAGTAGCCTAGGGGAAATCCTCAGCCCCAAGCCTTCAGCTGTTAGTGACAGCCCTGACTCATGAAGGGACGGAAAGCCAAGAAAGAAAACAGCCAAATACATACTTCTGAACATCAAAATAATGAGAAACCTAGTTATCAATATTAAACCCAAGCAGACGTACGGAGGATTTCAGCACTTACCATGCTGTGCAATCCTCCCAATAAATTGTCAATTAAAGGCGAGATAATTGCTCCACCATCTTTACATGAAGCTTCTAACACCAAGCAAAGACCCTGGTATCAGTGAATTAAAATAACAACAACATGAACATGTGAAAATGATCACTAAACAAGCTTAAACAATTCAAACCCTTTTCAACCACATCAAAATATGAACAAAAAGGTAGTGCTCATCTGGTACACGATGAGCGCTTTCCATTCAACAAAAATTCGGGTTTGAAATTTTGGAAATTTTATGTACCCAATGGAACGGTACCTTCCGCGGGACATTCCGGTTGCACAGACCCGACCCAAGCCACCGCGCGTTTAGTTATTGTTGCTGTAAGCAGGATACAAAAGAGCGGTACTGGGGACGACAATTTTGTCAAATGGAAAGGGACATTTCGTCCGTCCGACGGAGATAACCGGACCGATCAAAGTGGACCACCTTCAAAGCAGGTCCCGAATATTCCGGTCAGATGAAACTGAAATGGTCCGTTCCATTTGATGTTCCGTTCCCAATGTTTAGAGTAGAAATGGTTGAAGCTTCAAATAGTATAAAAAACTAGAAATGGTTGAAGCTTCAAGAGTTACATTAAGGTGAGAGCCCTCGGCTCCCACCAATGTGGCCCGGGGTTCAAATCCTGGCATCAACGCCATTATGAGAGTTGAGTTTGTTGCGGGTTCTCTCCTTTGCGCTAAAAGGTTATTTTTCCGGGTACTCCATTTTTCCCTCTCCTCAAAAACCATCATTTCCAATTTCCAATTTGAACCAGGAAAGGTAGGCGAAGAAGCACTGCGTGGATGTCCCTCTAAATCATTCTTAATTATTTCATTGTTTATAACAAACACCTCTATCACATATGCAAGGTGCAAGCTCAAAATACTTTACCTGTGTAATAAGGTAGTGCTCTGTGTGCCTTTTGTATAGACCTGTTATTCCAGGAAGCAGCCTCGGCAACTGCTCTTCAAGTTTGTCCTTAGCCATAATGAGAGTCATGTGACCAACAGCATCCACAACTGCAAGGCGAATCTAGATTGCCCAAAATGATATAAAATATAACAAGCCAATGAGCTTTTAATTAATTAACCTGTGTAGTCCAATACTTCTACCATGAGGTAAGGACAATATTATTAAAAATGATTAGAATTATCAGGTAAATTGCAGGGCCAACTGCTGGCAGATCTATTCTGAAAACTGTAGATCTGTTGTTATTAGATCTTGCAAAAAATATCAGGTAAGTTGAGGGCCAACTGCTTGCAGATCATCTATTGAAGAAACCTTCAAATCTGTTGTTATAGATCTTGCAAAACATATCAGGTAAATTGCAGGAACAACTGTTTGAAGATCTGAGAAATGCAGTTTTAACATTCTTTAGAGGAGAATTTATAAAAGGACTGAGGAATGTAAAGCTTAAAAACTTATCATTCAACCAAATTCTTTTTTACAAGGATATAACGCTATGAACAGAGCAAGCGCTGAGTAAGTTCTTGTCCGTATCAGAGTGCAAAGAAAAGCATTTTTACAGCTTGCCATTCGGGCAAGCTGAAGCTAGCATTTGCTAGCCCAGACGTCATTTCAACTAGCCCCAAAAACGTTTTGTTCTTCTGTTATTCAAACTCCTCATAAAACATCACTTGCCCGTCGGGCAAGTTAAAAACAGAATTCACTAGCCCGATAGCATAATCCTCTAGCCCCGGGCTATCGGACACTACTTTCTTTGCACGCTGCCGTATATTATTATTATTTTCTGTTAAGCCATCAAATTAATGAGGAATTTATAGCGATTTGCTCAGTTTCATTTTCAACTTTTTAGAACAACTTTCACAAAGTAACTTATCAGTGAGGACCCTCTTAGGAGTCGCGGTCAGTATTTTACCACTGTATTTGTCACCATTTCTGCTGTCCTAAGTCACTGTTTCAAGGCCATGTCGATGGTTGGGTTTTCATCCTAACAGGGCCTTACCAGTGACTTTTGCAATGTGTGTCATAACACAGCATGGTGGAAAACTGCCTGCCTACCCCTCCCCTGAGCTAACATTTTGCCCTAAGTAAGAAGTAATTGTTAATGTTGGCTTAGCGGAGGGGTGGGTGGGCAGTTTCCCAGAAATGTTTAATATTTGATCCAGCATGATATGATCATCACCTTTGGTTCATTTGATTTGATCCACACGTTAAACAGAACATCATAAGCTGCAGAGATTTCACCATGAAATCTGTCAACTGTTACATCTGGGTATGGTGCATTTTCAACATTTGCTATGTAGTCAACAATACTCTCACAAAACCTAGCAAGACCTGCAAGTGAAAATAACATATAATAATAAATTATAATTATTATTATTACAATTTATTATTATGTTATTATATATAACAAATTATTTATCATTAAGGGGCATTAAAAAAATAGGAGGCATTTGAAAGAGAGAAGCATTTATTCTCATAAATGTAACAATTTCAACAAAATAATATTAATATGCCTTTGGCAAAAATATCAAATGAGTTGATTAACAGTAGATCATCCATCCCTTCCATTGATACATCTACTGTATCTGGAGAGCTATGGTTCTTTAAAATCACAATATCGATGTGAGAATTCTCCTGAAAGTCATTGTGTTGTCATTATTAACCTGTTGAGTCACAGTTAGTAGATGAGACTGGTTATGAAAGACTGAAAGACTGGTAATCAAAGATACAGACAACAAATGCTGCAGTTTATGTTAGAAGCTTCAGACCTAATACAATCCTTTGTTTTCTATTAAACAAATTATGACTGAATAAATTTATCCGACATGGGATTTAATGGAGCCGAAACCACTTGTGGAATTGCACGCATTTTAGGCATCCTACTGATGAACAGTTGCAACACGTAGATATATATTTTTTAGCAACTAAGATAATTTGCAGTCTGTCTACTTTGAATAGATCACAACAATACAAATGCTATTGAACATTGTGCACCGTCAGATCAACAAAAACATAACCAAAGGAGCCTAATGAACTTCCTAACCATTCCACTCTATTAACTAATCTATGGTTCGATGTCAGAGTGTAATGACTTGGAAAGATTTGGGAGGTTTGGCTGATCATTTAGCACAGAGAGTTGTCTCTAACTGTTGGGGGGTGGAGGCATCTATTAAACAGGGGGTATTTATTACAAAGGGCATTTAATACAACCTCTAACAGGCTAGCGGCTGTAGTTGTTCTAGACAAGAAATGTTCATTTGAGAGAAGGCATCTATAAGATCATTTACAGCAACCATCACCATCCTAACAATCCAGCATTACTACTTGTATACTACTACCATCCCTAGGGGGAGGGGGTACTCCTTATAATCGCCTATAGGGAGAGGCCCCGCCCGAAAGGGGTGCCTTTTTCTGGCTTCAGTTATATGGAGGGGTAGGGATTTTACTTGTTGAAATACTGTTGATTGCCGATAACTTGAAACCTTTGTGAACTCGACCCTCGCACTAACTCAAACCAAAATCGATTTCCTGTAGATTTCCTTCATACATTTATTTTAATTTTACTGCCAGTAACTCGAACCCTTGATAACTCAAACCTCCCTCTAACTTGAAGTAATTTTTGTCTCCCCTCAGATCTTTTCTATATAATTTTACCCTTGATACTCGAACCATGTTTTAAGCACATGACAAATAGAAAAAAAAATTTACTGATGTCCAAAACACTGAATTTACTTCAAAACAACCGTGCCAATTCTTTGTCTTTACTTTTTTATTGCTCCAGTGCAAATACAGTGTCCAGCCGTGTGTATTAATGAAGCTTTCTTGCTTAATTCCCGTTTGCTGCCGCTAGTGAAGTGAAGTGTGCATGATACTTGCATCCCCTCTCCATCCACTTGCTTAATATTTCCTTATTTCTGAGTTTTTTTTACTTCGAACTCCCAATAACTCAAACTCTTTACGGTTTCCCTAGAAGGTTCGAGTTATCAGGGGTTGACTGTATTTGAAAGGGTAGGAAAGTCTGTCATGGTTTCGGCTATACAAAGGCAGAGCCCGAGCTTGTATAAAACTTCCTTGAGTACCCACCCCTCCCCTGGGCTACAATCATCAACATCAATTTCCGCTTAAATTGCCATTTTAAAAACTAATATCTGTTCATCATCTATAATTATCACCATTACAGCAAACATTACCATTAAATGATAACATTGCTTTGTCATGTTAGAGTACTTACAGTTAGCTATCACCCATTTTAAGTTGTCTTGTTTGGCCATTCCCATCATTGGCAACATGCGACCAAGAATGTCTTTAAGGAAAGGAACAACACCAAAGGCTGCAGACAACAAGATTGACATAAAGTGAGATATTATTTTGATTTTTAAGGTTCAGGAGTTCTACTAGCCTGCATCGCAGGCATAATTTGACAACGGTTGGTAAAGTCTGCCAAGCAGCGCCAACATCCTTGTTCCAAGCCACTGACAGACTCGACAATTACCAGAAGTACATGTTTTGAGCTTCCTTTCAACCTGATTGGCAAATCAAAAATGGCTTTTTTAACAGGCCTATCAAGGCACAAACTCAAATACTGGTACACATGCATGTGGGGGCCCAGGACAAAGATTTAGATACTGTTTTGCAGACAGACTTAACCAGAGTTTAGCTTCTGCATCTGTGGTGAGTGCTAGGGTTCTACACTCAAGATCTGTGACAAGAAGCAAGATCTTCAAATTCCTCCTTTCAGTTATTTGGCAGGTTTCACATGCATTGCAAATGTAGGACTGAGGGAAGTCCTCAACCTCATATGTGAAACCATGACTCAGTAGTACACACTGAACCCTTTAACACTATTTTGTTTTCATAAAACTAAAGCAGCACAAATACACCGTTAACTCACAATTGGAACTGGAGAAGGATGCAAGTGTCTGTACAACAAAGTAGTGAGGCAACGACCCAGGAGCTAGCTTTTCCAGGAGTTCAGCCATAACCTCATGATCAAACCTTTTGCCCAGGGCAACTAACACTTCTGAGGCTGACGACTGCCAGTCAGGCTCAACATCCTACCAAAGATAATTATGACTGTAAACTGCAGTAACATTTTTATTTTCTAACTGAGATAAATATAAGGCAGGCACCTTTCTAAAACAAATAGCCATATGTAAGGTGGTAAACCCCTGTAAAGTGGATGCCCCTGTAAGAAAAATACCCCTTCAGGGATGATATCCCCAGAAGGCAGACAACACCCGTGTAAGATGGACACCCTTGTAAAGTGGACACCACTGACAGGTGGACACCCCTGTGAGGCAGACACTTTGTAAGGTAGGCATTCCTCTAAGGGATATGATTTCCACTGTCGTATGACTTTTCCATGCAGATGGAAATGAAATAGAGGCATTGTATGAAAGGCCAAGCATAAAAGTATAAGTTGAGCAAGGTTCAACTTATTTACAGTTTTTACTTACGCAAGTAAAATTTACATGTGTATGCACATAAAAATTATGCAATAATGGAAATCCACCTTAAGTTCAACACTCCCTAAAGGTAGACACCAGTGCATGGCACACACCCCTGTAACACAGACACCACTATAAGACACACCCCTCTCAGGTGGAAACCCTGTTAATATAGACACCCCTGTAAAGTGGACACCCCATAGACCGGACACCAATGTAAGGTGGACACCCCTGTAGGGCAGATACTCCATTGGGAATGCCCCCTGTAAGGCGATATAACTGTAAAGAACAAACACCCTCATAAGATACACAACCCTGTAAGATGGACACCCTTGTAAGATGAACATCACTATAAAGGTGAACACTCCTGTAACATGGAAATCACTGTATGACAGACAACCCTGTAAGGTAGACACTAATGTAAAGCAGACACCCCTCTCAGGTTCTTATCTCTCTTATCCTAAATTTAGGCATGTTTGGCATTAAGGAAAATAATATTAAAATGAAAAGCTAGTCTTCTTCAATAGTCTTCTTCGCAGCCAGCTGGGAGACTAATTTTCAAGCTGCAAAGACACTTTAGAGGCGGGTAAGGTATTGCGGGTAAGGAAAATTGTATGAAACAAGTTGTGAGAACATCATTTCTCCTTCCCAGACCTCGTGTCTTCCCTCCCCCGGGTGTTCGCTTTTCTACGTAGATGACTGAAAACCAAAATTATGGCTGGGCCTCCCACAGGCAGCCCAGTAAAAAGGGAAATCCTTGCTTTAACATTTATAAACACCATACAATCTGAAGTCGAAAGCTAATAAATGGATAGAAGCTCCTGTTTTCTTCACTCATCGGCAAAAGCTGGTGGGAAGGTATAATTTTGCAATGATCCATGCTGTATAAGATTGCAAGTGGTCTACATGTAGGCTGAAAGTAATCCAGGTTAGAATAAACAGGTAGTCTGAGATCACTATTAACTCTTTAAGTCCCAATAGTAAGTAAGTAAGTAAGTAAGTAATAGTGACCAACATCAATTTTCTCCTAATGATATCCATACACTGTCAAGCGATTAGGTTACGAGAATTAAAGAAATGATCACCTAAGAGAAAATGCCTTGATCATTTATCAAATTCTCTCAACATATTCATTAAGGAAATATCTAGAGATCAGTTTGGAGAATTTGTATGTGGATATTGGGGCTTAGAGGGTTAATAAATAAGTATACCTTGCTCTTTGTCATTTCTCCAGATGCCAGCTTGATCAATTGCTTTGCCAAGCCCAGCGAGAGAGTGCTTAATGTATCACCAATAACCTTTGACGCAGATTTTAGAAGAACAACCCTGTGGCCATGACTGAGCTATAAAGAAATGCAAGTTAGATATTGTAAATTTTTTAAGTATCCTTACACATAAATTCACAACAAATACATGTAGGTTGTATGTCTGAGGAGAGTTAACCCTTTGACAAAAAAGCAATATGCTACCCCCATCTGTGGTTCAAGGTGGGGTGGTGGGTGGAATTTTTATGCTATGATTTAATAATTTGTGAAGGTTAAAGTTATGTTGAATGGATAACCTGTGATGGACTCAAAAATATGATCATGCACTGACTTCAACCAACAATATTAGATCATGGTGCTTATAGACCCTTATACAGATATATAGATCCTTTAATACTTTTGCAATCAATATCTTGTGGGAGTTTTAAATAAAAGCAAGTCATGTTTCAATGCATTTAATTAATCGTGCTTGATAACTTTTTCCCTATGGTTCCCAAAGAGCTACTCTGATTGGCCTAAGAGCAGGGACCCATTTTGGGTCATTAAAACTGGCCAATCAAGTATGAAAGTCCTTTGCCCCATGCAACACCATTTAAAAATAGGACAAAGGAATTTTTCATAAGTCTTGCCGTCAATGTACCTTCTGATGCTTAATGAGATATCCTTTTATGGAACTTAGGACCATTTCAGGCTGTTTTTTGCCAAGTTCATGAAGAGATGTCATGATCATCTCACGCACCTCAGGCTGCTTGTCATTGGCTGCATCAACAAGTGCCAGGCAAAGTTCTACAAGAAGAAAGAGAATGCATGAAGTTAATACAACCAGGTTATTTTTTCTGTAATTGAGACTGCAAATAAAACTCCACTAAAATTTCCACAAAAAAATAACAAACTGAAAGGAAACTTTAACAATAAAAAACTTATCTCTGTTGTTGGCTTTTCACAAAAATAACTATTTATAACAAACAAATAATAATTCAGGGAAGTACATGTACTGAAAAAATGTCAAGAAAGGTATTAGGTGCATCATAAGTTTGGAAGGGGTGAATTAAAAGTTTTACCCCTGAATATCGATTTTTTTTGCTGTGCAAATTCCGAGCAGTACATCAATATATGTAGCAAAGTTCAAGGTAAGTTAAAGTTTCCAAAGTTCAGAGATAAAAGTGCCTCGCCTGTATTATTCTGGGAAAGTCGTTTTTTAAGGGGGGAAGGGGGATAGGCTCATGTTTTAGGGGGGAGGGAAGGAGGCAAAGGCTCATGATGTTAAGAATATAACATCTGTGTTATAAGAATCAGCTAGAGACAAGAGGGTTGTTACCCTGGGTGCCAGAGGCTTTTCATGCGTGGTTTCTGGTTTCGGTTAAGTCTTAAAAAGTGACCCGCTTGAAAAGTCTCTGGACCAGAGCGCCATCCCTTTGATAGCACCAGGCAAATTATAACCCTGCTTATACCAAAACATCCAGAATCTAGATGTTAAGCTTGGAGATATGTTTTGCTTGTTCCGTGGAGATATCAAATGTTTCAAATGCTCCGATTGGATTACAATCTCAAGAGGCGCATGATCAGGACATGGGTGGTTTGAAGATGACAAAGATCAAATCCAAACAATCTAAGCACACATCACCTACGTTTTCGCTTTTTGGAAGATAATTGGAAATATCAGATACCTGTACGAACGGGAGATTTAGATAAGACAATTAGCCGAAGTCATTGGAATATTCGATGATGTGGAGGAGATAAGTGCAGAAATAAGAAAGGGCATTGTAAATTATATTCAATTAATTGGAGGTCTTGCCAACTGGCTATAGAAAATCACTGCAGTTCCAGTTACTGCCTGGCATATGCAGTGTGTGAAAAGGGGGTCAGTAGGCAACACATGACTTTTACCTCATGCCAAAAAGCTTCTAGTTCCAATTAATTTTTTCTCCAGAGGGTAGATTATGACTGAGCAAATGTGCATCATTTTTGCTGCTTGTTTCATACCGAGAAGTCGTGACACACATATTGATTTTCTGCAGTTTATTTCTGGTTGGCAAGATTTGCCCTCTGACGCGGGTCAAGAAAATTTTCTTTGACCTCTTTTGAAATGTAAACTTCTTCATTACTGCTTAATAAACTTTTAGGTTGTTTAATTTTCTCAAAGTGCCTCCTGGATCTGAATAATTATAAGCTGTTTTCTATTTGTCTGTGAATGTGAAGGTTTCCTGTAGTGTTTGGCCATGCTAGGTCCAGCTGGTTAGTAGTTTTTGCAGGACGTTAAATTCTCCTTAGTGATTTACAGATCCTAATTTTGAAGAATGGATTGCAGCTTGAACTGAAGCTACATAAATTATGGAGGTCTTGCCAACTGGCTATAGAAAATCACTGCAGTTCCAGTTACTGCCTGGCATATGCAGTGTGTAAAAAGGGGGTCAGTAGGCAACACATGACTTTTACCTCATGCCAAAAAGCTTCTAGTTCCAATTAATTTTTTCTCCAGAGGGTAGATTATGACTGAGCAAATGTGCATCATTTTTGCTGCTTGTTTCATACCGAGAAGTCGTGACACACATATTGATTTTCTGCAGTTTATTTCTGGTTGGCAAGATTTGCCCTCTGACGCGGGTCAAGAAAATTTTCTTTGACCTCTTTTGAAATGTAAACTTCTTCATTACTGCTTAATAAACTTTTAGGTTGTTTAATTTTCTCAAAGTGCCTCCTGGATCTGAATAATTATAAGCTGTTTTCTATTTGTCTGTGAATGTGAAGGTTTCCTGTAGTGTTTGGCCATGCTAGGTCCAGCTGGTTAGTAGTTTTTGCAGGATGTTAAATTCTCCTTAGTGATTTACAGATCCTAATTTTGAAGAATGGATTGCAGCTTGAACTGAAGCTACATAAATTATGGAGAACTGCACTGTGACAAGATTGCTCTTTAAGCAATGATTTTTAAACTCCAGCTTGTTTTTCTAAAGATTAAGTGACTCTTTGGGCTGGAGCGCATCATTCCTCCCTTGGTAATTACTTTTGAACTAGCTTAACAGTCTTGCGACTGCCAGTTTGATTGACAGATTAGAGACAAGGTCAAGGCCCGTCTAGACCGGTAAATCAAGGTGCTCTGCACCGGAGGCTTTTTCTCGCAGCATCGCCCCTCATGTCAGGCTGAAGACGTGTCTGCCTGCGGCCAACAAAACTCCTGGTCATACGCGAGAAAAAACCTCTGGTACCCAGGAGCAAGGGGTTGTTCAGGCCATGCCTGAATATTTGAGTGTTCAGTACTGGCAGTCAAAAGAATCATGCACTATATTGGAATAATACTGCGAAATTTCTTCGACTCACTATGTTTTATGACAGTCGAGTAATTAAAACCATAGGATTCAATCTACCACAAGAAGACCAGGTCCTGTTCAGATAAGCAAAAACACGGAAACCATGTTTTCAGTTTCAGTTTCATTATTTTTTTTGTGGTGAAATAAACTGAAACTGAAACTGAAAACACAGCTTACAGCAGTTCCAGTTCTACAAAACTAAAACCTCCCCAGAAAAGTCGTTTCGACAGTCAAGTGAGAAAATCAGGAAAAAGAACAGTAAAGATACTGAATAATGGAGCATAACAGTGATGCTCTCTGACCCTATAAAAATGACATTAATTGCTGCGGAGCGACCGAAGGGAGCGAGCAGCAACATAATCAGGATTTAAAGGAAATATATAAGGGGCGACGAATTCTCGAATTCATCACTTTTTACCACAATGCATTGCATTTAACCACACTTTTTACCACAATGCATTGCATTTAACCAGAGTGCATTGCGCCACGAACAACTCAAATAAAAACACGGGGAAGTAGTGCATCGTTCGCTGCTTAGTTCTACAGCACGGTTAGAGGTCTTACCAAATTTTAAGACACGCAGGAGTCTTTCAGATGAATACGATGGTTAACTTGGGGAGTGGATTTCAATTCAAGAGCCTTTGACTCGTCCAGGTGTTAAACCTGACGAGAAGATGATCATTTCAATGATTTGCTCTTCGACTCCGCAACACGGGGGATAAACAAATTCCAGCTTGCTAGAAGGTGATTTGAAAGTGAGAAAATGTCATGCAATGCTATTCTTAAGAAACTGTATGAGCCGAAAATGGATGTGATTTTGACCATTTGCTTCAAAATAACAGCGGAAATCGAGATAACAAAACATGTTTTGTGTCCTACTTTGCAGACCAGGACGTGTATCGGCGTTTTGAAAAGCATAATTATGTTCTTTCACTCATTCATTGCCATGGAATATGCGTTTACATTGTTTTTTCACTGTTAATAGCTCGGTTAATGCGGCTGGCGATCATCTTGCCGGCGGATGTTTTATAGAAAAGGAATAAAATGAAACACTTTTCCCAGGAATTACGTAATCAGCCTCTGTGGTGTAGTGGTTAGGTGTAGTCGCGTCGAGTCGGTGGTGCCGAGTTCGAGTCCTACCAAATTATTTATTCCTACTTTCTTTTTTTTTTCCGTTTTTTGTGTTGTTGTTTTCTATAAATATATAGCTAAACAACTGTTACTTAATAAAGTGCAACAAACAGCAAGAAAAGTATTGTTTTTCCAGAGAAAATATTGTGCACCGTATATTAAATATATGGATAAACAATCTGAATTTCTATTATTTCCTACAATTTACTGTGGGAAAACCAGAGTTGATAACCACTTGATCATTTTCTAAACAGCGTTCCCACGAGTTCTTTCTATAGACTGATAGTAATTATTCTAGTACTTTCCAACATGTAAATAGGACATTCAATGTCATTTTTGATTCTTTTAAGTCTCACTGCCTAACGAATGCCAGTATCAACAGAATGTGCCGCAGCATTACTATCTTTTAGATACCCTAGTTTATTGAGCATAAAGAATTAGCAACATAATAATGTGAAACATTGGGCATTGGACATGTGCACCTAAAGTTAGATTCCGAGAAACCCAAGGGTGACGACCTTTTATGGTAAAATTCGGACAAGCGACATGGCCCTGAAACAGTCACATAAGGCAGATGAAGTGAGGACAAACAACAATAAGATGGGTAAAATACCAACAGGGACATGGCCTACTCCTAGATCCTGAAAATGTGAAACAACCGTATTTGAAATTCATACTAGGGAAATGCATACCACACCTAGGATGGCCCCAGGGGTAGATCCCCCAAAAGAACAGAGAGAGGAAAGTACCCACATTGTAGAAGAAAGTGAGAAAGAGCCTACTGATACACACGTGCAAATCATCTTTGAAACAGGAAGTGACACGAACCTTTGATAATGCTGCATTTAAAATACTATAAGCACCCAAAAATCCTTGCTTAAGGTTCCTAAGTTACTATACTTTAATTAACGTAGTATTAATCTAACCTAAACGTGAGATGACTTCTTTGTTTTAGGCAAGAAGTACACATTTGACAAAGAGAAGCCCAAAAATTTATATAAGCTCTTAGATATATAAGTACACTCGTCTTAATTATTTTAATAACTAATGGTACGATAATGAACAAAAAATGGAAGAAGTGATCGAGTAATCAGTAGTCGGCAACATAATCAAAACCTAAAAATGCTCAGATTTCACGAACATTATAGAAATCTGACCATGTAACTGAGGTTTTGATTTTGGCAATCCATTGAGTGGGAATAATAATATTAAGCCGCGACCAGAAGAACTCGCAGCATTAGAAGCGTACCGTCAACTTGTCCCCCCGTCTTTTTGACTTCGTCTTCTGCCATCTTCACTCGCCAAAATGCCTTTTTACGTCATACACCACAGAAAATACACCACCATTAGTTAAGAACGATAGAAAATGGCAAAAAACCGTAACATTACATCACTGAACATTGAAGTTTGCTGCAGAATCCTTACCAACACCTCAAACGGTAGACCGCAGGATTCACGTGAGTTTTTTGCAGGCTCGTATGATTTTGGCTGTCTGGCGGGACTCGAATGAACATTTTGAAAACTATGGAATGTTTAGGAGAAGATGTTTTGTTCGCGATATTTTCGTTTTTAGATGTTAGGGCTTTATGCTGCGCGAGTCAAGTTTGTCAGCAATGGAATCGAATCTCGAATTCGAACTTTCTTTGGAGATCACACGTTATCCAGCTCTGCACAAAACGCAAGATCTCAGCTCATCTGGGCAGAGCTGAAAACTGGAAAGTACGCTATGTGCAACTTTCTACTGGACGACTATATCCTCGTTCTTCGTCGAAGACGGAAAAGAAATTAAACTTCGATACTTTGATTGTTAATCTATTTCCTGTAGAGACAGGAAAATTCGTCCTGTTAACGGTCAAGAAACGGCTTCCAATTCGTGATTTTGTTGAAAGCCACGGGCACAAGTATGTGACTGGGAAAGCATTTTATCAGCACACGAAAAGCGAGACGATTAGCGTGAAAAAGAAAATTTTGCTTCAAGAAAAACTCAGTGGCCAACTTTTTGAAGGAAATGCTGTTAGAGAGATGCTGGGTCTGAACAAGGAAACACCAGATTGGAATATACATCCGTCCAATTTTGATAGACGCATTGCAGAGTTTTACAGAGTGTTTGTTCAGAGCACTTCAGTAAATCGCGCGTTAATATCCAATACGCTGCTACTTTATGAAATTAAATAATCAAACCTTTCTTTTTCAATCACAAAAACAGTCTTGGATTGTGGAGTGTGTGCTTGCTGTTATTAATAAGTAATTTAAATTTTCCAATTCTGATAAGCCGGGTCCTCGGTAGTATAGTGGTGAGTATCCCCGCCTGTCACGCGGGAGACCGGGGTTCGATTCCCCGCCGGGGAGGTGCTGAATTTTCTTTTTCCTCTTTATTTTGACTCGTGCCCTTATGATAGATATTTCCTCCGAAATTTTTGTCTTCGATAAGGTTTTTTCAGTAGAAGTTTAGAAGTATGCATAAATGTGCTGTATGGTAAATGTGATGTTTTTTTAAATTTTCTTGCATTCAAACACTCCAATGCAAAGGCTACACTCAATACGCATTCATTGACCGAGTGCTGGATGTTGGCCAAGTTCATTTTCTTTTTTCTCTTTTTTTGCACTTTTATGTACAGAGACTAGTTCAATAAAAATGAGAAGAATAAACAAGGCCAGTGTTCGCTTGCTCTTGTAGCCAATCAGAAGGGACTTCATCTTAGCCATACAGCCATGTAATATATTCACTGACTTCTCAATATTGCGACTTTTATGTAGGGTAGAACTCCTTACACAGATTACTATTGAAGTTGCTTGATTTCTAAACCATTCTGGTTAATAATATCTATGAAGTGGAAAGATCTTGCACAAGGACATTAGTGATGACCACCTGTCCCTGTCACAGATCGAAGTGACTGTGCTTACCACATCCGCGTTCTTGTGTTTTTTTTTTTGCTCTTTTGTTAATGAACATCTAGGGACTGGGTTTGAATTCAATTTTTTTTGTTGTTGTTTTTTTTGTTTTTCAAGGGTAAAATAAGCTGTTTTACAACGGGGCCTTGCCTTGCATGGGTCTAGAGTCACGTTTACAATCAACTATAACTAGTTTTTTTATTTTATTTTGTTAATCATATGTCTTGTTAATTCTTTTATGATTGTAGTTTTGCCTCAATAAAGTGTCAAAAAAAAGGAAAAAACCTTTTGTCTAATTGGACATGTACAACATGAAAACATGACTACTGGTGCATTTAGATGTTATTATATTAAAATGGAAATTAGGAAATTGAGTAATTTTATTTTTCAGTGGACAGAAACCTTGTTTTAGAATTATTTCAAGCATATTGCATCCTTTTTTAACACTTTTTGAGGGCTATAAAAGTTATAAGTTATATGAAATAACTCCAAACAAAAGGTTCTTATGGGAGCCCGAGAAAACAAACATCAAAAGCTTCAAATTTCACAAAATGAAATCTTACACATGATGATTTTACCTGTGTTTTCCCAATTCCTGTGAAATTTGAAATTTATTTTCTCGGGTTTCCATAAGGAATTGTCTTTGGCGTTATTACAGATGACTAATTATGTATATAGCCCTTGAAAAGTGTACAAAAAAAGTTATATGGCCTCAAATATTCTGGTACGAGGTTTTTATCAGCTGAAAATTGAAATTACTCAGTTTCGTGGTGGATTCTGTCTTAATTATTTATACGCCATTTTTTTTTTCTGTACATGTATTTCAATTTCCTTTTTCTGGTTGAATTTGAATTTGGTTTGAAGTAAAATTGGCTCCTTTCCTCTCCTTGATCTTAAGCTCCTTTACAAAAGATACATCTAGAATTAAGCTAGCTTTTAAAAAACCAGGGAAATTTGCTTTCAATAGTTGCTTTCAAAATAAAACTCAACATTGTTAACTTTAGGTGTCAACAAAAGGTAAGAACACACAAAAAAAACTAATTTTCAATGCCCCCTTTGACTTAAGATTTTTAAAGACTGGACTTCTTGTTGGTTCAGGTGTGGTTTCTAATTTGATGATGGGTTATTTTATTCTACTCCCGTTGCGTAGCATCCTTAGATAAAATTAAATTATTCCTGAAAATTCTACGAGTTTTTGACCAGAACTACAAAAATATACCGGTTTGTTTACATTTGTGCAAGTCAGTCCATGAACACCGTATTTTTTTCCTCCTTGTGGGTACCAGTTGAGATTACTGACGTGTCATGACACCAAATCGAGGTTACGTGACAAAAATGTCTGGGGTACAATGAATACAACATGGCGGCAGCGCGTGCAACATTTCTCTCGTTTGCTGTCGGCTTCTCATTTGGGATTTTTGTTGTGACTGTAGTGAGTTACTTCAATGCTGATAGAAACTCACAGAGAATGTTTGTCCAGGTTACTAAGTCTCCTCCACTAAACGAAGATGACGACTTAGACATCACGCATAAAATTGTTCATCGCGACAGTAACAAGTTCAAGGTTGAATCACCAGTGGATTTTGATGCAGATCTTAAAGATCATCATCATCATCTCTCCTTAAATAAAGAAGCTCTGAAGGAACAGCAGGAAATAAGAATTCTTTGCTGGGTGATGACAAGTCCGGAAAATCTTCCTATCAAAGGAAAACCAGTCAAGGAAACATGGGGAAAGCGATGCAATGTCCTTTTGTTTATGAGCTCTAAAGATGATCCTAGTTTCCCGGCGATCGGGCTGGATGTCAGTGAAGGTCGCGATCAGTTGTGGCGTAAAACCAGAGCAGCTTGGGATTACGTCTATGAGCACCACATAAACGATGCTGACTGGTTTATTAAAGCGGACGATGATACGTTCGTCATAATCGAAAATCTCCGCCACCAGGTTTCAAGTCTGGATTCCGAGAAACCCCACTATCTAGGAAGACACTTCAAGCCTTTCGGCGGATACAACAGTGGCGGAGCTGGTTATGTGTTCAGCCGAGAAACTTTGCGTAGATTTAAGACAGCACTCGGTGATTCCTCTAAATGCGCTCAACAATCATTTGCAGAGGATGTTGAGGTTGGGAGATGTCTAAATGCAATGGGTGTCAAGCCGGCATATACCAGGGATAAGAGTGGTAGGGAAACCTTCATGCCGCTTCCCCCGGAACATCACCTTATTCCTGGGTATCTAAACAAAGATTTTTGGCTTTGGAGTTATGACAATAATCCATACAAAGATGGACCAGAATGTTGTTCTGATCATGCCGTGACTTTTCATTATATTGGTCCCAACATGATGTACGTGTTGGAGTATTTAATTTACCATCTTAGACCTTATGGAATGATTCATGATGATCACAGTTCTGAAGGTCTTGGGAAACCTGACACACAAGACAAATCTGTAAAGGAGGATTCTACAACGAGATGAGGTTCTAGATGAGAATTTATTGCAAGATTTCCTCATATCTTTTGTATCAGAG